ATTTTTTCAAATCCTCCCTAAAATTTGTCTAAGAAAGTGGTTTAGGGAGCCCATTATAGATGCTCTTAGTCACTGTAACCACACCTCCAACCATGCTCCTTATCACCTAAAATAGAGAGACCTCTAGGAACTCATAATCTGAGGAGAGAGAATGGCTTAACTTATGAGATTTTAGTATAAAGTATATATTGACTTATTGATGTATCAATATTGGTATAAATTGTATCTTATACTAAAACTGGATTTTCATATTTTGATTTTCTATTATTTTTAATTGAATCCAAATTGGGAATACTTCCTTATTTACATTGTAAACTTAAGTAAATTGAGTAATATACAAATAAATTAAAGTAAAAACACAAGACATTTGCGATAAAAATCCTTTGTATAATATACCATGTCTAACTTTTCACATACCAAGTAAGGAAATTAATGCATGTGTACCCAGTTCATGTGGGCTTGTTTAGTGGAAGAAAATATATAATAGGACTAGATAAATGAGTAAGTAACCAAAATTCTAACTAAATAAGGACTCGTCAACAATGTGTTGGATTAGCTTGAGAGAGAAAGGACATTGCCTTAGCCAATTGGTGGTGGTGGACAGCTGAAAACAAGTCAAAATGGTCCAGCTATGACATGATACTAGAGCAGAACACTTGTCACTCAAATCGATTCCACAAATTGACTAAAGAAAGACAAATAAATCAAAGGAAATAAACGAGCTGAAAATCTATTGAGAAAAATGCACGCATATTGCATATATGAACAACTATTGAAAGGAACGTATATGAAATTATTGTTTAGATATCTGAAGGTAAGCCATCTGAGTATCCTTTTTTATAGGGCAAAGAGATTATCCATAAGATGAAAGCAAACAACAGTATAGACATGAAGCCAAAAGAAAGGTGGGAAACACCTCCTGCAACCAAATAGCCAGGAGAAAAAGAAAACAAGATAGACTAGAGAAAGTTAAGAAAACAAAGACAACTATCTGAGTCTATCCACTAAATACAGAATGATCGAGTTTGGTTAAACCAAGCCCTTGTAAAGACATGAGTACCGTGTTTATCTTCATTTGTTCATCTTCCCCAAAAACAAAAAAGTAAGAATTAGGCATAGGACTTTTATGGGGTTTGGTATTTATATCACCTACTCAAAAGCCTCACATAATACATCATTTAACGAAATACCTCAAAATCAATAAGTTTTTGAATACCACTGTGCTTTTTCTTTTCTTTTAAAAGTTCTAATTGAATACCACAAGAATTGGATTGATTATTTAAAAATCTTAATTGAATACCACTAGATTTTTATTGATTGCTTAAAAATCCTAATTGGGTACCACTGGACTTTTAAGCTTCAAAACAATCTATTAAAATCTCAATTGAATACACACACCCTTAACTTATGAGATTTTAGTATAAAGTATACATTGATTTATTCAGGTATCAATATTGGTATAAATTGTATCTTATACTAAAATTGGGTTTTCATATTTTGATTTGTGGGAATTTGATTTTCTAGTATTTTTTTATTGAATCCAAATATTGGGGGGGGGTGGTGTACTTCCTTATTTACATTGTAAGTAAATGGAGTAATATAAAACTAATTTAAAGTAAAAAGACAAGACATTTGTGATAAAAAAGCCTTTGTATAAAATATCAAGTCTAACTGTTCACACTACCAAGTAGGGAAATTAATGCATGTGTCCCCAGTTCATGTGGGCTGTGTTAGTGGAAGAAAAGGATTTCTAGTATTTTGATTGAATCCAAATATTGGGGGGGGAGGGGGGGTGTACTTCCTTATTTACATTGTAAGTAAATGGAGTAATATAAAACTAATTTAAAGTAAAAAGACAAGAAATTTGTGATAAAAAAAAAGCCTTTGTATAAAATACCAAGTCTAACTGTTCACACTACCAAGTAGGGAAATTAATGCATGTGTCCCCAGTTCATGTGGGCTTGTTTAGTGGAAGAAAAGGATTTCTAGTATTTTTGATTGAATCCAATATTGGGGGGGAGGGGGGGTGTACTTCCTTATTTACATTGTAAGTAAATGGAGTAATATAAAACTAATTTAAAGTAAAAAGACAAGACATTTGTGATAAAAAAAAAGCCTTTGTATAAAATACCAAGTCTAACTGTTCACACTACCAAAGTAGGGAAATTAATGCATGTGTCCCCAGTTCATGTGGGCTTGTTTAGTGGAAGAAAAGGATATATTAGGACTAGATAAATGAGTAACTAACCAAAATTCTAACTAAGTAAGGACTCGCCAACAATGTGCTGGTTTAGCTTGAGAGAGAAAGGACATCGCCTTAGCCAATTGGTGGGGTGGTGGTCTCCCACAAATCCCCTCCTCGCCATTGCATTTGCATAATAATGTATGGGATCAAATTTTAATTCAAAGTGAAGGACTAAAGGGAATTTTCTGTTTAGAAGTAAGGGATCAAATTTTAATTTTAATTGCCGTTATTGTACAAAAGGAAGATACGTAACATTTGACCAAATTCTATTTTATTATACTTTTTGGGCTTTAATCTATTTGGACAATATGTTCTCTTTGAGCCCTTGTCTAGTTCATTTCGACTTTTCTCAATAAACGACAAAATCTATTAACGTTCCATCAACATATGGGCATGCGTCACGTCACATAATATGAATGCCTCAACCACCTAATGGCAATGGCATTTTCACAATAAACATTAAACATCTGACCTCTTAGTTAAGGTCGATTGTGGGCTGCATATATACGTTGCGTCTGAGCCCATTAAATTCGTCGCCAAAAAAACAAAAACAAGTTGTAATAACCTAACTTGCTTGAGAATATCACAATCCTTTGAGAGAGAGAGAGAGAAAGCAAAGAAAAAATGGCTGAAGAAAATCAAGTCATCGACTACAACACTACTGACGCATGGGAAGAGTAGCTCCATAGGGGAAACTAGAACAAGAGACTAGTATTTCAATTTTCAAATATCCAATCACACTTCTATATATTTTTGCACTCTTTTTTCTTCGCTTACAAAAAATTCAATTTTAGTCTCCATAAGTTTAAGGGCATTTCCATCAATTCACTATAACAAAAAATAATGATTTAAAAAAAAGAGGAAGAAAGTTAACCTTACTCAAGTGTCTTGCCCATCAAGAAACACTGCTACAAAAAAGGAAAAAGACGACGGGAATTCACCGTCGTGTATTCGGTTTTCAAACCGTCGTGGAATCGACCGACATCTATTTGGGTGTCAAACCACGACGCTAAATCACCGTCGTTGTTAAAACAAACAACGTCATTAACAAATAATAACCGACGTCTTTGTAATGGAAAAAGAGATAAAAAAACAGTCGAGGATGAGAATAGACGACCAATTCTAACAAAAAACGTCGTTAAAAAGGAAACATATGACATATATTAACAGAACATGGCCGCAAGATATACATACAACGACGAGAACTAAAACTCACCGCCGTTAAATATACCTTTCACGACAAATAAAAATATGACGTCTTTAAATACATAATCGACGACGTTATTGACTCTTACTACGTCAGTACATTTTCAACAACCGTCGTGAAATGAATTTTCCACTTCGATTTTTCTATTAATGATGACGTGGAAATAGATGTTAGGGTCATTACTTACGACGCATATTTAAACTGACGACGTTGTACTAATAAACAACGTCGGTTCCAAATAATTGAGAGCCGTATTACAGAATTTATACGTCATCTCTTAAAATATAATCGTCGTCTAATGGATCTGAGACGGCAACGTTTCTCAGTCCACCGCCGTGTAAAATAGTTTTAACGACACGATCTTAAAATAAACGACGTGGAAAATATGTTGGGGTCATTACTTACGACACATTAATTTATAAAGACGACGTTGTCGTCAATATACAACGTCGTTATCATGCAAAAGACAGCCGTGTTTCATAATTTATACGTCATCATTAAAAAATTACCGTCGTCTAATTCCTATTAGACGGCGTTGTTAATCCGATATTGCCGTGTAAAGAAATTTTAACGACATTATCATAAGAAAGAGACGTGGATACATTCATATAACGTTGTTTTTGTAAAGGAACGACGTCCAAATATATCTTAACGTCGACAAATTTACCAATGGATTTAAAATACCGTCGTGAATTCATCCTTTTCCACTTCGTTTATGAAATAACATGCGACGTGGTAAAGTTAAGACGACGTCGTCTTTTGTAACGTTCAGGTTAGATATCTCGTCTTTTAGACGTCGGTATTATGGGATTGGAGTCGTGTTATTTGGAATTACATGGCGGCTCTTTATGCTTCTCCGATGTGATATCCTTAATAACTGTTTCACAATAGCGTCGTGGTTCTTCTTTGTTACGTTGCTTTAAGACGTCGGTAAATATATTGCGGTCGTTGAATGCTCCAAAACGTCGTTTTTTATTAGAACAGACGTTTGTTTTTCACATTTTTATCAAGACCGTCGTGTTTGTAATCTTGAACCATATTTTTTGTACTGATTGTTTTGTGGCCAAAACCCTGTATAATGAAAGTGAAGAAATCACATTACAATATATTACAAAATTAATGTCATACACTGCCAATTACATAAGCATCATTCAATCCATATATCTTCACACCCATCTCGAATATTTTGACTCCTAAACGACGCAATAAATAAAACACCGACGTCTTATGCTATAATTACAAAGACAGTAGCAATTCCAAATTCATACCTGTAACGACGTTTTTTAAAACATATCGACGTAGTAATATCATTCACACGACGGTAAATATAACATAAGACGTAATAAGAATTCTCAGGGCAATACAGAGTTTAATAAAAATTTAAAACAGAGTGAGTAGGCTTACAATTAATTTTGCTTTCTCTACCACCTTTGGATCAGGGATGTTACCATCTTTGTCTTGTCTAGCTTTCTTCCATTAGGTAGATCGATCAATTTCTACCCCATGCATGGTTTCCTCCAATTAATCCTCCAAACCAGCATATCCTTTTCAAGATAATCGATGATTGTACTCAAGTTTCTCCCTAATCTTTGAATGTTGAGAATGCACAGACACAAATTCTTGGGATAACCTTGAAGCCACAAAGGCATCCCATTCTGCTTTCTCTATGAATTTATATAGTTCAGGGGGTTGGCTTAATTTCTCCCTCTCCTTGATGTATGGAAGGATATAATGCCTCGTTAGTGTAGACTTGAAATCCTTCCATTTCTTGGCAGCAGAAGATAACACTAGGTTCTTGCCCCCTTGACCTATCACAAAAGCCATGTCAACGGCTTCCCAAATCTGCTCCTTTATATCCTTGGGGATTTCAACCCATTTCTTGTCTATAAGTGGGACTCTGGAGCGTGCCAACACACCAATGTAAGACTGCATCTCAGTATGTGCAGGGCCACATCCTTTCCCCCTTTATTGTACTCAACAACTGGCTTGATTTTTGAAATTTTCTCTTCACAACACGAGGCATTGTGCTCATACCTCGACCTAACTTTTAATCCTCAGAAATTGTTGTCGTGCTGGCTGGTTCTGTCTCAGCAGATGAAACAAACTTCATCTTCTTCAAGGACTTGTCTTGAAGAGTTGCCATTCCAAGCTCCTTACCTCCATTTTTTTCGAGCCAGAGTCCTTACTTTGGTCTTGAGAAACCATGGTTACAGACAAATCAAACCTGCAAGTGAAAATATTTCAGGAAAAAATTAAGAACACAAACGACGGTTATTCATAAAACACGACGTATGATAATATTTTACACGACGCAATAACATAACATCACACGTAATAAATTAATTACGGCAATATAAAAGAATATAAAAGAAAATAAACACGACGAAACAATATAAAAGAAGACGTAATAAGAACTTATTACGGCAATATTTACACTCTGTCGTGATATTTAAATTCAAACGACGTTAATATTAATATAATGTTGTGGTATTAAAATTAACACGACGTGAATAATAAGATACCGTCGTCTATATAAGATTCCAAACCATTCTTTCTTTGTCTGTGAATGTTTGATTGCAGGTTTGATTTCTCTGAACCATGATTTTTGTTTTTCCTAATTTGATAAAATACAGAGACAAAGAAAGAAGGTTTTGAGATCTTATATAGACGACAATATTTTAGTATAACGTCGTGGTATTAACATTCACACGACGTGAATAATAAGATATCGTCTTCTATAAGATTCCAAACCCTACTCTCTTTTTCTTTGTATTTTATGAAATTAGGAAAAACAAAAATCATGGTTCAGAGAAATCAAACCTGCAATCAAACAAGCAAATAAAAAAAACGACAGTCATTTTAAAAACAACTTAGATCAATTTTCAGACGACGCTAGGACGACTGACAAACCGTCGTGGTCTACATATTTAACCACGTAAATAAGAAGCTACCGTCGTGTTATTTAGTTGAAGTAGTTGTGTTCAAAGTTGGAAACTTTCCCTCTTTGTCTGTATATTTTATCAAACTTGGAAAGAATTAAAATGATTTTGGCCAGAAAAAAGGTAAAAAGATTTTCAAAACAAAAACCGTATGAGCATGCAAAACAGCAACAAAAATAGTGAGAAATGAAAGCTTACCTTTTGCGTGCAATGAAAGCTTCCTCTCAAGTTTGCTGTTTAAGTTCAGAGAAGACGACGAAGACGAGAGAAGACGATGAGATACACTGACAGTTCTCTGACAAGGAAAAAAGACGAAAAGTTTTCTCTCGGAGATTGAAATTTTTTATCGGGTTTGGAAACAGTGCATGTGTAAGTCAGGTAGACGAAAAGTTGAATATATACACAAACCGTTAGACGGCGGTTTACAGAGAACGACGACGTATAAATAAAAAACTACGACGATAATTTGAACTTAGGACGTGGTAAATAAATACGACAGTAGTGTTGTAGGTACTGACAGGACCCGCCCCGAATTTTTCCGAAATCCGAGACGAATCCTGCGGAGACCCCGGCATCACACCCATGTCAGGTTCACTCCTTAAAACTATGTCCTCCTTTACCAAAGAGGATTAAGGGCACGAGACTTTCTGGCGAAGTTTCGGCAGAGTCTCCCCTGTAAATTGAACATTCCCCAAAATTTCCACATGTAAGAAACATATTTTTATCACCCAACCGGGTCTTGCCCCTAATTCAACCACAGCGAACTAACACCACCCTCCCGTAGTCAAATGGGAGTATGAACAATTATCTAGTCACATCTAAACTCGGTCTCATCCGAGTCTCATGACCAAAGACAAGGTCAGCAACTCGACAAAGCACCTAACTAAACCTAGTCTGCGGCTGCACCTAGGCGCTATCCCAGGCTGCCTACGTACCCTACTAAGGGATCAAGCCACACGTAGTTCTTTCACTAACACCCTCTACTAAGGGCTCACAACTCACCAATCACAAACCTTAATTTATCTCTTAAAAACTCACATAATCTCCCCATACGCCGGAACATCCAAAGTCGCGTATGGGGCCTGTCCGCACGCCGGAAATAATCCTACGATACGTGGGACCTCATCATCATGTCTCACTGTCTGCTTTGGGCCTGGCTACATTCTCACCAGCCATCTAACTGTCCGCTATGGGCCTGGCTACATTCTCACCAGTCCGCACACAATCATATCTCCCCTCATACGTCGGGACGCACCCGACCACGTATGGGGTCTGTCAACACGCCGGCTACTCCTACGACACATGCGACCTCGCAAGTATCACAATAACTCCCCATACGACGAGACGCACCCGGCCACGTATGGGGTCTGTCAACACGCCAGCTACTCCTACGACAAGTGCGACCTCAACTTTGGGCCTGGCTACATTCTCACCAGCCCGCACACAATCATATCTCCCCTCATATGTCGGGACGCACCCGACCACGTATGGGGTCTGTCAACACGACGGCTACTTCTACGACACGTGCGACCTCAACACAATCTCCCCTCATACGACGGGACGCACCCGGCCTCGTATAGGGTCTGTCAACACGCCGGCTACTCCTACGACATGTGCGACCTCAACCTTGGGCCTGGCTACATTCTCACCAGCCCGTACACAATCATATCTCCCCTCATACGACGGGATGCACCCGGCCTTGTATGGGGTCTGTCAACACGCCGGCTACTCCTACGACACATGCGACCTCAACCTTGGGCCTGGCTACATTCTCACCAGCCCGTACACAATCATATATCCCCTCATACGACGGGATGCACCTGGCCTTGTATGGGGTCTGTCAACACGCCGGCTACTCCTACGACACGTGCGACCTCAACCTTGGGCCTGGCTACATTCTCACCAGCCCGTACACAATCATATCTCCCCTCATATGACGGGATGCACCCGGCCTTGTATGGGGTCTGTCAACACGCCGGCTACTCCTACGACACGTGCGACCTCAACACAATCACATATAACTACCCATACGACGGGATGCACCCGGCCTTGTATGGGGTCTGTCAACACGCCGGCTACTCCTACGACACGTGCGACCTCAACACAATCACATATAACTACCCATACGACGGAACGCACCCGGCCTCGTATGGGGTTGTCAACACGCGGGAAGGTACATAGGGTAATGCGTATAGCACTCCAAACTGACATTCTATACTCTTTTATACCTTTAAATATACACATAAAATATACATTAATTTCTAATAATGTAAACACCTTAACAATCAACTAGCATCCGATAATCCCCCATAACCCACATAACATCAAGACCTGTCACTACGGTCATTCTAACCCTCAAAGAAAGGTAAGACTATCTCGGAAGTCTCACGGTCAACCTAGGGTCAAACGACTCAACCTTGGTCAAACAGGCCCACGAGGCCCACGACCTCCAAATTCCAATTCGATAGTTTCTATGAATGCTCACGATCGCACGATCGGACGGTTACTAAAACCCATAACCCTAGGGTTGGCATTTCCGGAGTATCCGAGACTCCGTTTTTCGATCCGTCGAATCCTACATGATCCTAAGATTATCCAAATTAATCTATAATAAACTCAAGACCATCCAACGGTCCAAACCTAGCGAACCCGGATAATGCGCGATATGCGATATCCGTTCGGGACTCTAACGATATCCAAATTGAGATCCGCGAAATCCTACGCGCTCGTGAGAACCAGTAGATCATTTTAGAACCTTGAGCAAGTCCATTTTCCTAGCCCACGCGCCGCCACACGCCCCGGCAGCGCGTGGGTGCCTTGAGTAATTTCCGGCGGCCGGAAAACTCCAAACCGCCGCCCAAGCTTCCTATCCTAGATGTAAAACCCTATTCTGAGCCACTTTTGTTTGGACATGCCCTGAAAAATGGCCGGAAGTGGCCGGAAATGCGATCCAACAACCGGCCGAACCCTAATTCGAAAATCAGACAATCTACCCTCAAAATCATGACAATCCTACTCAACCATCAGCTAGAGCTCAAGGAGTATATAGATTTCCATACCTGGATTGCCAAAAATGGCTGCCAGACGACGGAGAACGAGCGGCTGGAATTTTCCTCTTGATCCGGTCGGTTTTCTGCAAAATCCGGCGACGTCGCTGCCGGCTGGCGTCGGAGAACAGGTGGGGAAGGACGGCGAAGTCAAGCCGGTCATTTTGGGACCGATCCCGGCCCAGGTGGTGGCCGGAGGTGGCGGTGGCAGCCGGTGGGCGCGCGGCTGCTACAGTAACCGGGGGGGGATTTCGCGACAGGGAGGGAGAGAGAGACACGCGGAGAGAGAGAGAGAGAGATATATATATATATATATATGAGGGCAATTCTGTCTTTTTATCAAAAATCCCTTTTCCAAATATTTACGATCGTGCCACTGAGTTTCATTTCGATCGTACTCTCTCGTTACAACTCCAATTCGAGCCCACTACGTGTCTACGAACTCATCTCGCCGTGCTCTACGTAATAGTACAGCCGGAATCCCAAATTCCTTCCGTGTAAGAAAATGACTAAAATACCCCTATCCCATGGGTAAATTCTTAATTTCGCTCAAGTTAATTAAAACATGGGATAAATCTGGAGTCGGGGTGTTACAGGTACCGTCGTAGTAAACTCATAAATAAAAGTCAATAAATTAATATCTCGGGTCATGGTACAAGGATTTAACACGTCATTTTTTTTAATATACCGACGTGGATTTCTATAATATACGACGTATATTAAATAATAACCGACGTTGATTTTACAATTAAACGGCAGTTTGTGTGTAATGACCGCCGTGGGTTTTAAAAATTTATTGTATAAATTTGTCGCTTTCTTTATCAGTTTCAGTTTTCATTTAGGGTTCCAAGTTCTTCCTCTCTCGCAGACACTCTCTCTCACCTCTCAAAGACAATAATTTGGATGTCTTTCTTAATCTATGTCCACAAGAAGAAGCTTGTCATCTAGCCTTCTCAATTCCGTGATTAGGCCTGATAGGAGACTTAGTGCTTCTGAATACTCCTTGCTTTCCATCAAAAGAGATGCAAGCATGGCCTCCACTCGTTGTCAAAGGAAAGTTCGCTTCTCAGCACGGGTCCACTGCGCCATTTCTTAGCAAAGGGAAATCTGAAGATCAGATGTGCCTGATCCTCTGCTCGATTTTCTTGGCTAAGAAGATCCGTTAGATTTGTGATAGCCTGTTCATTTATCCATAGAGCTTCAGAAGAAGATGGGTTTTCAAGAATGCGATAAAGAATAGAAATGGCTTCAGATGGCCTCTAAAGCCTGAGCAATCAAATTTGTAAAGACATTGTCAATACTTTGAACTATCCAAGTCCTGCAGAAAGAGAACATACCAAATTTGAAACAACGACGGTTTTTTGTTCTACCGTAGTCTTTTTTGTCGTCGTAGTATATTAAAGTAAGATGGCGGTAGGTTTATAATTACCGACGTCGATTATTTTGTTAACGTCGTTAAGTGTAATATAACCGACGTGGATTTTATTTTTTAATTATAAATAGAGTTTTTTTTCCTGAGTTCTTTCAGTTTTAGTTTTCAATTACAGTGCGTTATAAATAGAGTTTTTTTTCCCGAGGAAATTTAAAATGACGGAAATTAATGTTCTAGAATTTGTAAAGTTTCTTGTTTGGGTGACTGATTTAAATCAAATACGAATATAAAAACAACAACGGTTTTTTGTTCTACCGTCGTCTTTTTTGTCGTATGATGGCGGTAGGTTTATAATTTCCGACGTCTTTAATTTCTACGTCAGTTACTTAATTGATTCTGTCGTTGGTGTTTTGCTCTGAGACTAAGATGACGCAATATATTTGTTTCGCGACGTGGATTCGTTTTGTTAAACGTCGTTATGTGTAATATAACCTACGTGGATTTGATTTTTTAATTATAAATAGATTTTTTTTCACAAGTTCTTTCAGTTTTAGTTTTCAATTAGGGTTTCAACTTCTTCTTGCCCTTTTCTCTATCTCACATCACCTCTTAGGAGGCAATTGTTTGGATGTTGGTGTGTGTGTGTATGTTTGTGTATCTGATTCACAAACATACACACATCACCAATTTTCAAAAAATTGTCTATCTGATTGCAAATCTGTGGCTGCCGTCGTGAAATTTTAGGAGGCAATTGTTTGGATGTTGATGTGTGTGTGCGTTTGTGTAGATACACAAACGCACACACATCATCAACTTCCAAAAAATTGTCTCTCTGATTGCAAATCTGTGGCTGCCGTCGTCAAATTTCAAAGGTAATTTTTTGGATGTTAATGTGTATGTGCGTTTGTGTATCTCAAAGACACAAATACACATACATCATTAACCTCTGAAATATTATCTTTTTGGTAAGATTATGATGAGGAACAGAGTTCCATCTGATAAGATTTCGTAAACCTTGGGATCTCAGAAAAATGTGATTATGTCGGCGGTTTTCTATATAAACCGTCGTGGTTATTTCAATTCTTGTCATTAAGTTGATCTACCAACGTAGGATAACAAAATCCAAGAAATAAATTGTTAAAAAAAATTCTTATTAAGACGACGGTTTAAATATAAGGTATGACGTATAAAGTGAATAAATAAAACGTTAAATTTTATAATACGTCGTTAAATGAAAAACCCTAACGTGGTGAGAGTTAAAGATACTGTCGTAGAACTATACGAGAAAGACGTCGATATATTTATCTTTGCCGTAGTTATACATTAATTTAATACGGCGGTATTTTGTATTATACCGCCGTGGATTTATTTGTAATTATACAGCGCCTTATACGAAAACTTGGTCGTGTTAATTTCTGAGTAAAAACGGCGGCTTTTTTTGACATCGTCGTCTATACTTTCTACGTCGATTTATTCATAACTTCTGCCGTTCTTTGTTGGCTTAGATTTTAGTTTGTGGAAATCCCATTTCAATAAGACGTCGGTTTTTTAATTAGGTGTGTCGTCTTTTATGAACAACCATTGGAATCTCCATTTTTTAGGTGTCTAAGGTGTTATTACACGGCGGTTTTATAGAACCGTCATCTTTTAAAAAACAACGATGGTTTTCCCTTAGACCGTCGTTTTTTTCTGGTCGTCTTTGTCACTTTTTGTAGTAGTGAAACACTTAAGCAAACGGATTGCATTAGAATAGGTTGTTTTAATCCGTATAAGACTACGAACCCTCGAAGCTCTAGTATTCTAATCAAATTGCACTTAGACTATAGCTGCAGATATGTTTGGGCAGTACTTCTTGATCAATACAAACTCCTCGACTCCTAATGTGATTAGAAGACCTCATTTCGTGGCTAAGACAAGATATTGTCTTACAATATTCCCTTTGTATTCTGTGATCAGCTTCAATGGGGAAGTTTTTATTTTCTTGTTCACCGTATTGAAATTGTTTGTGCCTAGAAATTTAGTTCCAAATTTTGAAATCAAGAGCAAGAATTGGGTGTATTTCAGAGCTTACATTTCAAAATAGAAATAATTTTGTCCGACTCTAGATAGGGGTTTTGTAATTTGCAAATGGCACTAAAAACCTAGGTGTACGGTTGTGTCCTCCATCCCTTTAACATTTTGGTTGTGGAATTGGTTTTATACTTTGATTAACTAATACATTAATTTGATGTCTTTAATTTAATAGCTGGTGGTGGATTTCACGGCTTGGTCTTATGGACCCTGCCAGTTGATCGCCCCAATCTTGGCGGAGTTGGCTAAGAAGAACCCAGAAGTAACGTTCCTAAAGGTGTACGTGGATGAACTAAAGACTGTTTCTGAAAAGTGGGGTGTGGATGCAGTGCCTACCATCCTCTTCCTCAAGGAAGGCAAGGTAGTGGACAAGGTTGTGGGTGCCAAGAAAGACGAGTTACGGACCAAAGTAGGGAACCATGCCACTGTTGCCTCCCCCACTGATGATTCCTGCCCCACCAATGATACCTGCCCCACCGGTGCTACTGCTACTTCTTCTGAGAGTGCTACTGCTACTTGTACTGCTACTGCTACTTCTACTACTAAACCCTAACTTCTGTCATTCTCTGTATAGGAGACCATGAAACTCCTTTCTGTTTCACTAGTTGTTTATAACTTTTATGTGTTTCTTTTAAGACATATCTGAATGCTTTGTGTATCTATGAATGCCTCATGCCAATTATCTATGAATGTTTTATTTATTTATTACAATGCCATATTTATTTGGGATGGAAAGTTCAAGAGCCAATTGGAACAATAAGATTATGGAGATTCACTATTATACCTAATATAAGGGCCCAAATTCTAAAAATATTCATACGAAATGGACTTTAGAGAAACACCCCAAATCGCATTTACAACCTAACAAAGAGGCTTTTAATTTCTTATAAATTACAAAATTGCCATCAATTTATTAAAACAAGCCCAATCCCAAAACCTCATAAAAAACCCAAAATACTCAATAAGGTATCAAAGTAATCTTTTCTGTGGGCTCAAGGTACAAAGGTGTGGACAACTATTGAGAATGGTTGGGAACCTCCAACAAAGGAAATTAAAGGGCATGGAAAAGAGGTTGAAGGTGAAGGCCAGTCGACAACAAAGGTTGTAATTAAGCGAAATACAGAGTAGACTGATGAAGAAAACATATGAGTGCCTACAATCAAAAAGGTCTTAACTCCATCTTCACTGCGGGTATCAGCTGAAAAATTTGAGTTTATATGTCATTGCAAAACCTCAAAGGAGGCTTGGGATATTCTGGAAATTACTCATGAAGGAAATGCCACTGTCAGAGAATCCAAACTTCAACAACTGATGACTAAGTTTGAAAATATGAAGATGCTGGAAACTGAAAAATTTGCTGAATTTTACGCTAGATTGAGTGTGGTGGTGAATGCTTGCAGCAACCTTGGTGATGCAATTCCTGAACACAGAATAGTGAAAAAGATTTTGAGATCTCTGCCTATGATGTATCACGCCAAGAAGACAGCGATTGAAGAGTGTAAGAATTTGAACACTTATAAACTTACTGAGTTAATTGGTTCTCTTACCACTTATGAGATGGAATTTCCAGAAATAAAGAAAAGCAAGGGCATTGCTCTAAATACAGTGAAAGAAGATGGGAGTGACAGTGTGTCAGAAGACAAAATGGATTATGCTTTGCTTACAAAACAATTTCGTAAGTTTTTGAAATCTAAGAATTCAAGGTCTGGTGAACAAAGAGGAAATTCAGGTTCAAGTACAAGAGGGAGTCGCCCTCGTGAGTTTACTTCTGACAAGTTATCACATACAACCAGAACTATGGAGAAAAAGGGCTCTAAAGATTCACTGAAGTGCTTAAATGTGGTGGATATGGACACTTTGCCTCTGAATGCGCAAATAATTTGAGGAAGCAAAATAGTGGGAAAAATAAAGTAATGGCAGCAACTTGGAGTGATAGTGAGTCTGATAATGATTCAAATCCAGAAAATAAAGATCAAGTTGTTTCTTTCTATGGGAGAATTCATGCGCAAAAGAATGAGAACTCTGATGTTGAAGAACCTGAGATAGAAGTGGTGATGAAGCAATTCAACAGTCTCTATGATTCCTCTGAAAAACTGAAGAAGAAAAATGCAGAGCTTGCTGATCAAGTGGCTTTTCTACAAGACGAACTGACCAGGATTGAAGCTGCCTTTCAATCCCAGCTGAAAACAGAAGAAAATCTGCGTGGGTCTTTGCTTGAAAAAATTCAGATGCTCCAAGACAAGTACCAGCTGCAGAAAAATATGAATGTTTCTCTTACTTTCGAAAGGGACCATGCTAGTGCTGAATTAAATTAGCAACGGAAAAAATATTTGGTATGACCATTGGTGCAGAGAAGATTGACAGGATGTTAAGTCTGGGAAAAAAGGCTGGTGATACGAGAGGTTTGGGTTTTGAAAGTGAAAAGTCTAAGCAAGAGGTCAAAGCTGTGAAATTCATCAAAGAATTCTCTTCTACTGAAGCGAAGGTTAGCCCAAAGAAATTTATACCAATCTGTCATTTTTGTGGAGTTTTTGGTCATATACGGCCTAGATGCAATGTGCTTAGAAAGGAGAAGAGGTCAGCTTACTACTATTCTCCAAGAAATTTTAATCCATCTCAAAGAACCAAACTAGTGTGGAAAAAAAAGGAGGAAAAGTGCTTGGTGACTTTAATGGCCTTATCTGCTAGAAAATCTATACATGGTATTTCGACAGTGGTTGTTCAAGACATATGTCTGGTGATAAATGTTGGTTTACAAATCTGAATACAGAGTGTGTGGAAGGCTCTGTGACATTTGGAGATGGAAGTAAAGGTAAAATTTTAGGGAAAGGAGATGTTGAGACACTTGGCTTACCATTCTTAAAAAATGTCATGTTGGTGGAAAATTTGCAAGCAAATTTGATAAGCATCAGTCAACTTTGTGATGATGGTAGCAGCGTGTGGTTTGATAAAGATCAATGTTATGTTGCTGATTTTCAAGGAAAGAAGGTTATGAGTGGCATGAGATCCAAAGATAATTGCTATTGTATTCAGGTGAATGAGAACAAAAGTCTTGTGTGCAATCGCGCTACTGATGACGTGATGGAACTGTGGCATAGAAGACTTGGTCATATCAACTTTCGTGATCTCTTGAAGCTGTCCAAGAATGAGTGTGTCAGAGGTCTGCCAAAGCTGAGTGGTAAGTCTGCAGGAGTGTGTGGTGCGTGCCAATTAGGTAAGCAAGTCAAGAGTGCTCACAAAAGCATATCCTACATATCAACATCCCAACCATTAGATTTGCTGCATATGGATTTAGTTGGTCCCATTCAGACTGAGAGCATAGGTGGAAAGAAGTATATGTTGGTGTTGGTGGATGACTTTACTCGGTTTACTTGGGTTGATTTTCTTCGTGAAAAATCTGATGCATTCAAGAGTTTTCGTGGCCTATGCAACAAAATTCAGATCGAGAAAAATGCTTCACATGTTACTGTCATGAGACTTTGAACAGACCATGGAACAGAGTTTGAAAATGTAAGCTTTGCTGAATATTGTGAAGAGAAAGGAATAAAGCACGAATTTTCAGCACCTATTACACCTCAACATAATGGGGTGGTTGAGAGGAAGAATCGCACCTTGCTTGAAATGGGACGTGTGATCTTGACAAGTGCTAAGATAGCGAAGAAATTTTGGGCAGAAGCTATTAGCACAGCATGTTATACAGCAAATCGTGTATATCTTAGACCGGGCACAACTTCAACTCCTTATGAGCTTTGGAAAGGGAGAAAACCTAACATAAAGCACATGAGGGTTTTTGGGAGCGTCTGCTATATTTATAGAGATAGAGAAAACCTAGCAAAGTTTGATACAAGAAGTGATGCTGGCATCTTTTTGGGTTATTCTCTCACTAGCAGGGCTTATAGGGTGTTTAACAAGAGGACATGTACGGTAATGGAATCAATTAATGTTGTTGTCAATGATACTGATATGTCATTTGGTTCTTGTGCAGATGATGATGAGGATATTATTCCAGCAGCTCCTAGGCAAGAAGAAAAGGACAAGGTGGCTAACATTAATGATGAAGTGCATGCAGAAGAAGATATGTTTTCACCTCCTCTTAGACCTGGTGCTCGGCAAGTCCAAAAAGACCACACACCATCTGATATTATTGGAGATTTAAATGACCAAAGAAAGACAAGAAGCCAAGTCGTTGCGGAGGTAACTCATCTGTGCTATGTTTCCAAATTGGAACCAAAAAATTCAAAAGAAGCACTTCTTGATTGTGATTGGATCATGGCTATGCAAGAGGAGTTAGACCAGTTCACTAGAAATGATGTGTGGTACTTGGTTCCACGTCCCAAGGACTTGAATGTGATAGGTACAAAATGGGTTTTCAAGAACAAAACTGATGAAAATGGTGTTATTACAAGAAATAAAGCAAGGTTGGTTGCACAGGGATATTCCCAGGTTGAAGGGTTGGATTTTGATGAAACTTTCGCTCCCGTGGCAAGGCTTGAATCAGTTAGATTGCTTTTAGCTATAGCTTGTCATATGAGGTTCAAACTACACCAGATGGATGTGAAAAGTGCGTTCCTAAATGGGGTTTTACAGGAGGAGGTATATGTAGAACAACCTGTAGGATTCAAAGATCCTTACAATCCTGATCATGTATATTGTCTTAGAAAAGCTCTCTATGGGCTGAAGCAAGCTCCCAGGGCTTGGTATGATCGGTTGTCATCCCATTTGCTGAATAAAGGGTATGTCAGAGGAGCTGTTGACAAAACTCTATTTGTCAAAAAGACTAACAAGGACTTGAGTGTTGCTCAGGTTTATGTCGACGACATTGTTTTTGGGTCTACATCTGAATTTCTTGTAAAAGAATTTACTGAAGTTATGAGCAGGGAATTTGAGATGAGTATGTGTGGGGAGCTGAGCTATTTCCTAGGCCTGCAAGTCAAGCAACAAGATCATGGTATCTTCATTTCTCAAACCAAGTATGCAAACGACTTGGTAAAAAAAGTTTGGTATGAGTTCTGCCAAACCAACAAGGAATCCCATGGCTACACACAACAAAATTGATGCTGACCCTTCTGGAAAATGTGTAGAACAAACACTTTACAGAAGCATGATTGGAAGCCTCTTATATTTAACAGCCAGTCGACCCGACATCTCATTCAGTGTTGGTGTGTGTGCTCGCTTTCAGGCAAATCCAAAGGAGTCTCACTTGAATGCAGTCAAGAGAATCATCAAATATGTAAGTGGTACTCCAACTTTAGGTGTATATTATTCATTTGACTCAAATTCTGAAATTGCAGGTTACACCGATGCCGATTGGGCTGGAAACGTTGATGATAGGAAGAGCACATCTGGAGGGTGCTTTTATGTAGGTAATAATCTTGTGTCTTGGCATAGCAAAAAGCAAGCTTGTGTTTCCTTGTCTACAGCCGAAGCGGAATACATTGCTGCTGGAAGTTGTTGCACACAACTACTATGGATGAAGCAAATGATGAGTGATTACGGCATTCATCAAGGTACTTCAACTCTTTTTTGTGATAATCTGAGTGCAATAAATATTTCCAAAAATCCGGTTCAACACTCACGAACAAAACACATAGATATTAGGCATCATTTTATTCGTGAATTGGTTGAAGAAAAGGTGGTAAGTCTTGAGTTTGTTTGCACAGAAAAACAATTGGCTGATTTGTTTACAAAACCATTAGACACTGTTCGTTTTGAAGCTCTCAGGAAGTCTCTTGGTATTTGTTCCATTGAATGAACTCCCTCTAATTTTTTTTGCATTCACATTTCATTGTTGTATGCCCATGTCGAATAGGTTTCTTAGTTTTTTTTTTTTTTTTTTTTTTTTTTTTTTGTATTTTTGTAGTATATCATTGCATTGCATTTTCAATCCCATTGTCATAAGCTTGTATTTCTTTGAACTAAGATTGGGTTTTCTAGTCTGAGTACGGGACTAACTGTGAGACACATGCTCTTAGTTGGCAAATATTTTTCTATGTTAGTCTCTGGCATTAATCCTTGCTTGGCATTTTCACAGCATTTCCTTGGTTCTTGCACACGCACACCAATATGAGCTATGAATGCCTTTGTTGCAAGATTTCACTTTAAACGACAATGATAGATATCTTTGGAGCTTGACTCAGGTTATCCCAAAGTAGCCGGACCTCTTACCTAACCAGTGTCGAGGGTCGCGTCAAATACGGGATGGCTTGGTCCATATTTATTAAAAAAAACAAAAAAAAAAAACAACTTTGAAGCCTTTTGATCCTTCGAGTTGCTAAGCCCATGGAGTATCCTTGATATACTTAGTGCCCTAAAGTCCTCTGGCTTGGGAGCATCTGGCCTAAGACTTGTTACAGGTCATTAGAAAGCTTAATAAAGTTGTGGAAAAAAAAAAAAAAACACCATTGTGAATATGCTGAATTACACTTGTCTGCACTATCATTCTTATCTCTATTGGTTCATTTTCACACCAAGGACCCCCTGTGAATTTTTGCTAACCTTGATTATATGGTGTTGCCTAACATGGAGAGATATTTCACAACACTTGATGATGTGGGTTCTCATTATTACTCTTCAATTTTGACTTGATATCTCCTTACAAGCTTTGCTTTAGCAATCTCGTTTGTGACAATGGTTTGAACACATTCATCTTGTGTGCCTAATTGCTCAATCATTATTACTTGTGTCTTTGCATACATTCATGGGAGAATTCATAATATGGAATTTTTGCCTACATTGTTCTTCCTGGGAGTGGTTATTTGATGTGCAAGTGGTTATTTCTTTAAGGGGGAGTTTGCCATTACCTATCCAAAAAAGGGGGAGTAAACATTCTGAGTTTTATTTTTACATATTGTATTTTCGACCATACATGCTTTTCACTGGTTATTTTTTGGTTTAGTGGTGCAGAATTCAGGTTACCTTTTCTATTGCAAGTGGTCATGTTTAAGGAATTCTTTTCACTCAATTGTAATTGGTTTAGGGGGAGATTATTAGGACCATTTTTTGTAACTAGAGTTTTTGTATAGGAAATGCCAAATGGGGAGATTGTTAGGACCAATTTTTGGTATATTGGCAATTTCCTGTTATAAAAACATAGAGTAGGTCTTTGAGTGTAACCTACAGTTTTCAAGTGACATTCTGCTATCTTGGATCAGTGTGGCTCAGAGACAATGCCAAGGTATGTTTTGCATCCATGCATTCATATTTTCATATTTGCTTGATCATCAAAAGTGGTTGTAAGATGTACATGACTGATATATGATTTCAGTCTTATATAATCCAGTGCCAGACATCAATGAGTTTTTAACGTTTGTTTTATATTCTTTAGATTGGTGCTTATTTAAGCAAAAGGGCTCTTTTGTCTTTACGGCTGGGTTTTTAATTAAGTGGCTTTATTTGTTTTTAAAGAAATAATTTATTTGTTAAAAATCCCATTTTTGCTAAAAGCCTTTTTTGGTCTCTGACCTAGTTTTAAGTGTGTAATAAAAGAAAGGAACTTAGCCATTTGGGGGAGGGTCTGCAACGTTGAAAAGTGTAGAACGACAAAATATTTTGCAGAGAGGTTTTTGAGAGTTCATATTGAAAACTCATGTGGATGTTCCTTGTTAGCCTCTATGAGTGATTAAATAATCTTCTTTTCATATATGTGTGAGTTCATGAGCATTATGCATGTTGGTGATCAACAATCGTGCCTTGAGGTGTGAGCAGCCGAAACCAGAGTTGTGCCATCTCTTGTTGACAAAGGAAGACAAGATCGCTGGTTGGGTTGAGTAGCAAAGGCGAGTAGGCAAGTCTGCCTTGCGAGCCTTAGTCTTGTGAGTTGAGACTTGTAAGACCTTTTTGTATTCTTTCTCATAGTGATTTGTTCTCTGGCATAGTGCCCGCAGTTGTTTTCCTCATCTTGAGGTTTTTTACTGCGTCAACATATCGTGTGTCCCTTGTGCAATTGTTTGTGTTTTTATTTGAATTTATTATGCTGCATATTCTGGAATTTTTGCTTACAGGATTGTTACAATATTTCAATTTTGTCGTGGTGTTTGAGTATTAAGAAACAGATTAGTTGGTCATTCTAGAGAATTTCAAGAGAAAAAGGACATCGCCTTAGCCAATTGGTCGTGGTGGTCTCTCATAAATCATAATATATCTACCTCCTAAGAAATGAAAGTATATTCCTTATACCTGAAAAATAAAATCAAAAGCAGAAGTGGAATTTGTTTCTAAATGTTGAGATAATGAAAAATCATTGATCAAAGACTATTGGAATTGCGTATTTCGACCACACAAAAAAAAAAAGGAATTGCGTATGATATGAACTCATTAACTATGAATTAATAAAGGGGGTCCCTACTGTCTGTATCCAACACATGCATATCATACCATGTTGATCTATATGTCTATGTATACAGTACAAATTGGATGTTGAGCTTACGAGTTTCGACATTAAATTGTTACTAGTACAAATTGGATGTTGGTATCGGTCCTTCTCCTTGGACAAGACTTTTGTGTTGCAATCCCAATTCCCAAGTGAAGGATATTAGAGCATTTACAATTATATGCTCTTTATTTTTTAGTTAAAATTTAGTTAAAAATATATAAAATCTATTTTAGGAGCTATCTATAAAATTTTAACTACAATCATATACTCTCTAATTTAAGGACTCATAAATGCTATAACTATTTTTTAATTGGTCTTTTCTATAAAATATATATATAATAGTTAGCCTTAATTAAAAGTTTAAAATACTCATAAAATAAAGCAACATTAAATTATAAGAAGCCATTATGAGTCTTTTCTCTCTCATCATATTTAAAAGCTCCTAAAGATCTCCATATTTAGGAGGTGGATAAGGAGAATAGTTGGAGTAGTATTTTTTCAAATCCTCCCTAAAATTTGTCTAAGGAGGTGGTTTTGGGAGCCCATTGTAGATACTCTTATTAGGAATTGTAACCACACTTTCGACTATGCTCCATATCTAGCTCCTAAAATAGGGAAACTTCTAGGAGCTCTTAAATATAAAGAGAGAGAATGACTAATAAAACGACCTGACCCAATTTCCACTTTGGAATCCGGGTCGAAACCTGTTTAAAATTGACACCTGGTAACCGTGGGTCGCAAATGACCAAAATGCCCTGAAAACAGTAACATAAACCCTGAGCCCCTAACTCGTGGCTGCGCCTGATAATTGTAGGCTGCCTACGTACCCTTTCTGAGGGATCAAGCCACACGTAGTTCTTTCTGATCTGTAACTGAACTGTTTACTATAAATCTGGTTCTAGGGTTGGCATTCCTGGAGTATCCGGGACTCCGTTTTACGTTCTGTCAAACACTATATGATCCTGGCCAAGTCTAGATTACCATATCCGAAAATGGTTACGATCCAACGGTTCGAAACTATTGAACCCGGAAATCACACAATATGCGAGATCTGTTCGGGGTTCAAACGTTAACCAAATTGAGATCCACGAATTCCTACGAGCTAGTGACTACCAAGGATCATTCTAGAACTGAAAGTGGTCTCTACCAATCTGCCCACGCGCCGCCACACGCGCCGGCAGCGCATGGGTGGCTTGATCAATTTTTAGCGGTCTGAAAAACTCCAAACCACAGGCCCAAACTCCTAACTTAGGTAAAATACCCCATTTGGAACAACTTTTGTTCTTGGACATACCCCAAAAAGTGGCCGGAACTGGCCGGAATTGTGCTCTCAAAACCGGCTGAAACCTAACTCGTAAATCGAGCTATCTACGCTTGAAATTTCTGAAATCCTATCCAACCAGCAGCTAGAGCATGAAAAATAGCTAGAAAACCATACCTCACTCGTCCGATTTGGTGGCTGGACGACAGAGAACAAAAGGTTGGAAATTCTGTCAAAAACTGTCCAGCACCGCCTGTTTCGTGACTGTTTCCGGCGACTATGGCGGCGGATGGAGGCATTAAAGGGCTGGGAATGGAAGAGGGAAGTTTCTTGGTTCCTTTTGGCACTGGTCTTGCCTGAATCGGAGGTCGGAGCTGAGAGAAAACAGCTCCCAAAGTCGGCTGGTCGTGCCCCCGAATCCAGAAATTTCTGGGTTTATATAAACTGAAGTTCGAATATTTACGGTTATGCCACTGAACTTCTTTTAATCGTAACTCCTTTGTTACAACTCCGATTTGAGTCCACTACGTGTCTACGGACTCGTTTCGTCGCGATCTACGCAACGGTACAACTGAAATCCCCAAATTCCTTCCCAGTCAAAAAGTCAACTTTTAAATCATTAAAATATTCTAGGGGTATAGTGGTCTTTTATTGGAATAAATTAATAATTAAATATTAATTAAGGACCGGGTTGTTACACTTAACTTACCAGATTTTAGTATAAAGTATACTTTGACTTATTGAGGTATCAATATTGGTATAAATTATATCTTATATTAAAATGGGTTTTCATATTTTGATTTGTTGGGAATTTGATTTTTGTAGTATTTTTTATTGAATCCAAATGGGGGGTACTTCTTTATTTACATTGTAAACTTAAGTAAATGAGTAATATAAAACTAATTTAAAGTAAAAAGACAAGACATTGTGATATATATATATTTAAAATTAAAAATTAAAAAAAAGCATTTGTATAATATACTAGGTTCACACTACCAAGTAGGGAAATTAATGCATGTGTCCCCAGTTCATGTGGGCTGTTTAATGGAAGAAAAAGATATAATAGGACTAGATAATGAGTAACTAACCAAAATTCTAACTAAGTAAAGAGTTGCCAACATGTGTTGGTTTAACTTGAGAGAGAAGAACATCGTCTTAGCCAATTGGTGGGTGGTGATCTCCCACAAATCCCCCTCCTCGCCATTGCATTTGCATAATAATGTACGGATCAAATTTAATTTAATTGCCTTTATTGTACAAAAGGAAGATACGTAACATTTGACCTATTTTATTTTATTATACTCTTTTGAGCTTTAATCTATTTGGAAAATATGTTCTCTTTGAGCCTTTGTCCCGTTCATTTCGACTTTTCTCAATAAACGACAAAATCTATTAACATTTCATCAACATATGGGCATGCGTCACGTCACATAATATGAATGACTCACCCACCTAATCGCAATAGCATTTCCGCGATAAACATTAAACATCTGACCTCTGGTTAAGGTCGACTGTGGGCTGTATATATACTCTGCGACTGGCCCATTACATTTCCACAAAGCAAACAAAAAAAAAAACAAAAAAAAAAAAAAAAAAAAAAAAAAAAAAAACCTTGTAGTAACTAACTGCCTGAGAATATCACAATCCTTTGAGAAAGAGAAAGCAAAGAAAAAAAGGCTGAAGAAAATCAAGTCATTGACTGCAACACTACTGACGCATGGGAAGAGCAGCTCCATAGGGGAAACGAGACTGGTATTTCAATTTTCAAATCTCCAATCACATTTCTATATCTTTTTGCACTTTTTTTTCTTCGCTTACAAAAAATTCAATTTTAGTCTCCATAAGTTTAAGGGCATTTCCATCAATTCACTATAACTAAAAGTAACGATAATTAAAAAAAACGAAAATACTGATTATAAAAAAGGAAAAAAACCAAACAAAAGGTTAACCTTACTCAATTGTCTTGCCCATCAAGAACACTTTAGCAAACCAGATTGCATTAGGATAGGTTGTTTTAATACAAATTTATAAATAAACCCAATCCCAGACATGTATTTATAAAAAAACCCAAACACTATTTAAACATAGAAACACACCCAAAATCAACAATTGTATATTTTTTGGGTGTGTTTATAAATGGGTTTTGAGTGTGTGTAATGATGGGTTTTGGGTGTGTTTATAAAGTGTTTTGGATGTTGGGTTTTTTATAATTTCAGCCTCCATTTTGGGTGTTTTAGTGAAACTCCCTTGTTTTAATCCATATAAGACTACGAACCCTCAAAGCTCTAGTATTCTAATCAAATTGCACTTAGACAATAGATGTAGATATGTTTGAGCAGTACTTCTTGATCAATACAAACTCCTCGACTCCTCATGTGATTAGAAGACCTCATTTCGTGGCTAAGACAAGATATTGTCTTACAATATTCCCTTTGTATTCTGTGATCAGCTTCAATGGGGAATTTTTTATTTCTTGTTCACCGTATTGAAATTGTTTGTGTCTAGAAATTTAGTTCCAAATTTTGAAATCAAGAGCAAGAATTGGGTGCATTCCAGCGCTTACATTTCAAAATAGAAATAATTTTGTCCGACTCTAGATAGGGGTTTTGTAATTTGCAAATGGCTTAAAAACCTAGGTGTACGGTTGTGTCCTCCATCCCTTTAACATTTTGGTTGTGGAATTGGTTTTATACTTTGATTAACTAATACATTAATTTGATGTCTTTAATTTAATAGCTGGTGGTGGATTTCACGGCTTGGTCTTATGGACCTTGCCAGTTGATCGCCCCAATCTTGGCGGAGTTGGCTAAGAAGAACCCAGAAGTAACGTTCCTAAAGGTGTACGTGGATGAACTGAATACTGTTTCTGAAAAGTGGGGTGTGGATGCAGTGCCTACCTTCCTCTTCCTTAAGGAAGGCAAGGTGGTGGACAAGGTTGTGGGTGCCAAGAAAGACGAGTTACGGACCAAAGTAGGGAAGCATGCCGCTGTTGCCTCCCCCCACTGATGATTCCTGCCCCACCAGTGATACCTGCCCCAGCGGTGCTACTGCTACTGCTACTTCTTCTGAGAGTGCTACTGCTACTTGTACTGCTACTGCTACTTCTACTGCTACTTCTACAGATACTACCTAACTTCTGTCATTCTCTGTGGAGGAGACCATGAAACTCCTTTCTGTTTCACTAGTTGTTTATAACTTTTATGCGTTTCTTTTAAGACATCTGAATGCTTTATGTATATGGCTACTAGTTCCCATATGAATATGATGCCTCATGCCAATTATCTATGAATGTTTTTTTTTTTTTTTTTTTTTTTATAATTCCATATTTATTTGGGATGGAAAGTTCAAGAGCCAATTGGAACAATAAGATTATGCATTGAAATATATTTGGAATGACAGTCAAAACCGGAGCCGAGATCTAATCATACCACGAGGCAAAAGCACTTGCCTTTACTAACAATACTTTTAAAAGCCTACTTGAGGAACAGCACTTGCCTCTACTTAACAAACTACTATACACACACTGTGAATCGAAAGACTCTAATTCTGATAGATAGAGATTAGCCAATTCAATGTAGAATCTTCATCTGTAAGTATGCCTTCTTCGAATTCGTCTTAATTCTTTGCTTCATATAGCTCTGCTGCATGCTGTGCCTCCTTTTACAACGTCTTCATCTTGTCGGATCGGGTTTGATTGGTTCACTGCGGTGGTTGCTCTATCATGCTAAGATCCAGCCAGTAATATCTCGCCACGTTTAAGCAGGGAGGGCATGGTCAAAAAGTTGACGGCCAGGTTATCATTACAAGTGGACTGCTTCATATGTCTAAAACGAAGTTGTAGCGTACAAAAATAAAAAATAAAACTAGAGATATAGAAATTGCTAATCCTGGAATTCCATATTAGGAAAAAGACACTCAGGAGGAATAGAAATTGTACGACAAAAGCTTGTTATTTATTTATTGCTGTGTGAGCTCCAATTATAGCACTGAGACTGAGACATTTTGATCAGAATTTCTTGAAGAGAGAGATCTTGGAGGTTTTCTGGCCACTTCCCAGCCAATGTTGCATATGAACTCCAATGGCATCCAAATACAAGCTGCTCCTGCCATGCAAGCCCACCACCTTGCCCTCTGTGGTAGTTGAAGTGAAAAATGTCCCAACTTCTTCCCCAAATGGACCATACTTGCCTCTGCTGGTATAAAATGTCAAAGACTTTATAATTTGAGGTCGCTCGTTTTTACTAATGCAACCATAATACCCAGATATACAAGTCAGCACTTCATGAGGATACTCCAATTTAATCTGCAAAACAAATTGATCAAGTAATAATTTGTTAGATGGACACATACAAATTGAGATTAAATTCGCTTGATCAAGATGTTAATTAAAGCATTTAATTTGTACTCGATGTGGGGCAGTTCCTCCATTGCCTCCATGCTTAGCGGACCAAATGAATTGACCGTTTCGATCATACTCAATCTGCACTGAGCAAATGCCCTCTGCTGCTCTTGTCAAATGAATCTGCCTAATCCCAGAAAACACTCCATCATCCCATGCTCTGCCTCCATCTCCCCCCATGGCCCTGGTCCACATGGGGTGTTTCTTTTATCACCCCCAAGCAACCTGGCCACCAACACAGAATTACCTATTCAATTAGCACATGTATAATCTTTGTATTATCTACTAATATATATGCATGGAATTAGATTAAACTTAATTACCTCTTCACCTTTTCCTCTGTTTGTCATTAGCAGCTTGTTAGACCAGTGAGGATTGTCCACCTCTGTGATGGCCCCTGCAGGCTCCTTTGGGATGATTGCAGTGCAATTATTAGGAGTATTTGTGACAGGTGGTGTCTGTATCTCAGTCTCGACATTGACCTTCCTTCTGTGGCATGCACCCCAAGAGCATCTAAGAAGAGACCCTTCCTCCCATGAATTCCAACAATCTTGCCTTCCTTAAGCTTGGTGGTGAAAGGGGTTCCTTGTTCTTCTCATATGGCCCGTGCTTCTTCTTCGTCGTGTGGAAAGTGAGGGACTTAATCACATTAGGCCCCATCATCATGGCAGCCCCAAATGTTCCTGTTATGTGCGTCAAGATTTCGTTCGGAAAATCAAAAACTATCTGCACATATATAGTGTAAAACAAAACATTGCAAGTGAACGTTGATGTGCGTTCAAATCAAATGAAAAAATAAAAATAAAAAACAGCTACCATAAATCAATATTGTTAAAACTATACTTAATTTGAGATAAATTTCACCTTGTCACTTTTATAACCTCCAGTCCCGCCATGTTTGGTCCCCATACAGCTTCACCGTCGCAATCATACTGACCTTTATGTATATTACAACTCCCACGTTTCTTGATAACTTGATTTGTCTAATTCTGAATAACTCCATCATCAAATTCAAAACCACCTGTCCCTCCCCACGGACCATACGTTACCACCCCTTCAGCAGCTATTGCCGACATTCTCAATACTTGGCGTCTAAATGAGAGAACTTCATGTTTAATGCACATTTTCAATTGAATAACCTTGAACTTGTAAAGGCAGTTTCTCTTACCTTGAACTGGTTTCTTCATCACTTAATTCTCCCGAATTAGAAAATGCATTGAGAGTTGTTGTTGGGTACTGGTACTGCACAGCTGGGTTGCAGTGTAGTCATCCTTGGGTCTATAGCACAAAAACACATCACAGTTTGGATGACAGAGAGCCGGCAAGGTTCGATCATACCACCAATCATATAAGACGGTGTTTGAAGCATAGTTTTTGAGGGTGGGTTTTTTGATAATTCTGAATAATAGGCTTTAGGTAGCTCCTATTGATCAAGAAACCAACCAGACTTGCCAAAGAACCCAACAATCTTACTACTCCCAGCTCTTGCCGCTGGGAGCGAAAAATATTTCCTTGTTCAATCCAAATGTCCATAAGTCCATTTTTTTTGCTCTGATGTAAGTGATCGACTTGAACCGGTCCCATTCACTAAATCTTACCATAATTCCCTCAAGTGAGAGTTAAAATTCTTCCGGATTAAGCAAGCGTTGACCTCAGGAGGTATAGCGTAGGACAAAAAATTTGCAAAAGATTAATGTGATTAGCTAGTTAATTAATCATGTCAGGTTCTATGGGATTAATTAAAGAATCTGGTAATGAAAGTAACGTGTTATGTTTTCCAGTCCATTGTCAACCATGCCTCTCAGCCCAAAATGAGGTCCTTTCGCATCAATATTCCAACCTGAATGGAATTCAATGGCCGTCCAGGAGTATCACAACTGCTTCACGTGAAGTTAAACTCCTCTTCCCAAAGACCCGGTTGGGCCTCCCCCGGCCCAAACTGATACCAGTTGTTATCGTACTTCAAAAGTACTTGCCACCATGCATTAATATAGTCAACTCTAAATTAGTCTTGAGTTGGAATTAAGTGCGAGTTGGAATTAATTGAAGAAACATAACATGGAAGATTTAACAAAACAAAACAGTTACCATTTTGGTGCCGTGAGCAGAAGCGGGTGAGCGTGGAGAGTTGAAGGTGAAATTGAATGTTGCGGTGGTGGAAGAAGGGATGGGACTAGGAATTATAAGACAACAAAGGATGCTTTAGGTGTGAAGGTGCATGAATTAAGGGAAAATAATTTATTATAGGTGGATGATTAGACTGTGGAGAGGAAGAAGTAATTCTCTTCTCCACTATGGAGGGAGCGAATGGCTTCCCCCCAAGTAAAGAATCAATGATTTGCTCCAAAATATCCCTTGTGCCTGTAAGCACAGAAAAAAGGTCATCTTTGGCGAGCTTTCAAAGCATTTCGTGACGGTATGGATTTTTCCCATTACATTTTATTGCAACGAATTTCAACTTGGGAGACAGAAGATTACGCAGTAACCCTTTATTTCGAATTTTCGAATATATATTATTAATATATTATATAGATATATAGTACATCTTTTTTTTTTTTTTTTTTTTTTTTTTTTTTTTTTTTTTTTTTTTTTTTTTTTTTTTTTTTTTTTTTTTTTTTTTTTTTTTTTTTTTTTTTTTTTTTTTTTTTTTTTTTTTTTTTTTTTTTTTTTTTTTTTTTTTTTTTTTTTTTTTTTTTTTTTTTTTTTTTTTTTTTTTTTTTTTTTTTTTTTTTTTTTTTTTTTTTTTTTTTTTTTTTTTTTTTTTTTTTTTTTTTTTTTTTTTTTTTTTTTTTTTTTTTTTTTTTTTTTTTTTTTTTTTTTTTTTTTTTTTTTTTTTTTTTTTTTTTTTTTTTTTTTTTTTTTTTTTTTTTTTTTTTTTTTTTTTTTTTTTTTTTTTTTTTTTTTTTTTTTTTTTTTTTTTTTTTTTTTTTTTTTGGTGTGGTTAGTTTTGAGTTTGTGTGGGGAGGGATTGGATTTTGGGTTGGATTTGTGGTATAACAATTTTAGGGGAGATTATCCCTTCTTCTTTTTTTCTTTGTTATTTGACCTTTTTTTTTTTGTAGGGAATCATCAAGACTTTGATGGCTAAAGTTGAGGATTAGGAAGCTATCAAAACATATCCTCCGCCACTACCACCACAATACGCTTGTATTAGGATTTTATTATTGTACTTTGTTAATTTATGTGTACATTTTGAATATTATATATATATTTATTGGATAATTTGATCACTATTTTTCATATGTAATTTTATTTTGAATATGTCAGTTTAAATTAAAGTAATTAAAAATAATAATACAATTTAATTTAATTTAAAAAGTAAAAATTCAAAAAAATTAATATCAATTTAAATTAAAGTAACGAAAAAAAATAATACAATTAAATTAAATTTAAAAGTAAAAAATTGAAATAATTAATATTAAAGAAATAATAAAACAAAAAAGTCAAAAACCAAAATACATTTGCGCGACATTAGTATTTGTCGCGCAAAACTCTAAAAGTTTAGGCGGGTACCAAAAATGGGACGCGAGAAATTTTTTTTTAAATTTTTTTTGTCGCGCAAAACTTTGCGCGACCAATGTTTTTCGTCATGCAAAACTTTGCGCGACCAATATTTTTTCGTTGCGCAAAGTCGCTTTGCGCAACCAATATGTTTCGTCGCACAAAGTCGCTTTGCGCAACCAATATGTTTCGTCGCTCAAAGTCGCTTTGCGCGACAAATATTTTTTCGTCACGCAAAGTCCCTTTGCGCGACAAATATTTTTTCGTCGCGCAAAGTCCCTTTGCATGACCAATGAAAAAACTTCGTCGCGCAAAGTCTTTCTTCATGGATTCTGTGTGACGAAGTTTCTGTCACGTTGAAATTTGTGCGACTACAATGTATTTTGCGTGACGAAATTCTCTTCGTCGTGCAAAGTGTAAAATGTAGTAGTGTATGAATCGTTGGTTGTAATTCAGCTGTTTGTTAGTTCATGTAAGGCTATATAATAGCCAAAGGTTGCTGTTCAATAATAAGTCATTCAATCCAGTTCTTACGTTCGAGTTCTTTGCTTTCTTGTTCTCATTCCCAACAAACTGGTATCAGTGCCCCCATTGGGCCTGAGAAAAAGAAGCCGCAACTTTTGAGTGATTTCGAAACACAGAGAGAGAGAGAGAGAGAGAGAGAGAGAGAGAGAAGAAGATGACCTTTGAAGGAAATTTTGTGCAACCATCCATTCCACGTTTTGATGGTCATTATGACCATTGGAGCATGCTTATGGAGAATTTTCTTCGAAGCAAAGAGTATTGGAGTCTGATTGAAATCGGTTATGAAGAGCCGGTGCCAGGAGCACGACCTTTATCTGAAGGGCAGCAGAAAGAGTTAGAAGCATTGACGCTCAGGGACCTCAAGGCCAAGAACTATCTTTTCCAAGCGATAGATAGAATTGTTCTGTAGACGATCTTGGAGAAGGATACATCAAAGAAAATCTAGGAGTCCATGAAAAAGAAATATGAAGGCAATGCTAGAGTGAAGCGCTTGACTCTACAAGCCTTGAGAAGAGACTTTGAAACTCTTGAGATGAAGGTTGGTGAAATGATTATTGATTATTTTGCTAGTGTCATGTCAGTAGCAAACAAGATGAGAGTGTATGGGGAGGCTATGACTGATATTACGGTTTGTGAGAAGATTCTTAGATCCCTCACCGACAAATTTAATTATATAGTCTGTTCGATTGAGGAGTTTAGGGACATGGATACACTCACTATTGATGAGCTTCAAAGCTCACTCATTGTGCATGAGCAAAAGTTTCACAGGAGCAGTGGCATTGAGCAAGCTTTGAAGGTGACAACTGATGAAAGAGTTGGAGGCAGAGGTTGTGGAAGAAGCAATTACAGAGGAAGAGGTCGTGGAAGAAGAGGTCAGGCATTCAACAAAGCTGAGGTGGAATGCTTCAAGTGTCACAATCTTGGACATTTCCAGTATGACTGTCCAAAGTGGGATAAGGAGGCCAATTACACAGAAGTGAATGAAGAGGATGAGATGCTTTTGATGTTATATGCTGAATCACATGAGGTGAAATGGAATGATGCATGGTTCCTTGACTCGTGGTGTTCCAATCATATGTGTGGTAATCGAGTATGTTCACCAATCTAGATGAGAGCTTTCTACATTCAGTAAAATTGGGAAACAATAGTATAATGAATGTGGTTGGAAAGGGAAATGTGAAGCTGCTATTGAATGGAGTTAACTATGTTGTACATGAAATGTACTATGTTCCAGAGCTCAAAAATAATCTCTTAAGCATAGGAAAACTTCAAGAAAGAGGCTTGGCAATATTGATTAAAGAAGAAGTCTGTAAAATCTATCATCCGATGAAGGGCTTGATTATTCAAACTATGATGAGTGTAAACAGAATGTTTATATTGCTAGCTCAGACTCCAGCCCCTACAAATGCTCAGCCAGAAAGATGTCTTCATACAAGCTCTCAAGATCTCTCTTCCCTTTGGCATCAACGATATGGCCACTTGAGTTACAGAGGTTTGAGAACCTTGCAAAACAAGAAGATGGTTCATGGACTTCCTCAGTTTCAAGCTTCAAACACAACATGCACGGATTGCATTGGCAAACAACACCGAGATGACATACCAAAGAGAAGCATGTTTAGAGCAAGTCAGCCATTGGAGCTCATTCATGAAGACATTTGCGGGCCTATTTCCCCTATATCCAATAGTAGCAAGAGGTACACATTATGTTTTATTGATGATTATAGTCGTAAATCATGGGTGTATCTGTTGACAGCAAAGTGTGAGGCATTGAATTGCTTTAAGCTTTTCAAAAAGATGGTGGAGAAAGAGAAAGGGTTGTTTGTTAAGTGCTTGCGGACAGATATAGGGGGGAAATTCACTTCAAATGACTTCAATGATTTTTGCGAACAAAGTGGACTCAAGAGACAGTTAACCACTGCATATACACCACAAGAAAATGCATAGCGGAGAGGAAAAATCGAACCGTGATGAATATGGTCCGTTCCATGCTGTCTGAAAAGAAGATTCCGAAAACATTTTGGCCGGAGGCTGTGAATTGGACTTTCTATGTTCTGATTAGGTGCCCGACATTGGCAGTGAAGAATGTCACACCACAAGAGGCGTGGAGTGGATTAAAGCCCTCAGTTGAGCATTTTCGGGTTTTTGGATGCATAGCTCATGTTCACATTCCATATGCAGAAGAGGTAAATTAGATAATAAAAGTTTTCCTTGTGTTTTACTAGGAGTTAGTGAGGAGTCCAAGGGGTATAGATTGTTTGATCCTATAACTACAAAAATTGTTGTGAGTAGAGATGTTATTTTTTAGGAAGAAAAACAGTGGGATTGGGGAGTGAATTTTGAGGCGCAAATTTTGTTAGACTTGGAGTGGGGAGAGAATGAAGAAAACAATGAGGGTGAAGAAAGGGTGAGTGAAAATGGAGATGAAGATGGCAATGATGATAGAGGGGAAATAAGTGAGAGTGAGGGCAGTGAAGAAGCACGGGGTAGAGAAGTAGGAAATCCTAATGGGCCTGATGTGAATTAAGGGAGAGTGAGACGTCCTCCTCTTTATTTGAACGATTATGTTAGTGGAGAAGGTTTAAGTGAAGATGAGGCACACATGGCACAAGTTGTGGCAACTGAAGATCCTTTTCATTTTGAAGAAGCAGTGAGGAATGTGAAGTGGAGACAAGCTATGGACAGTGAGATCAACTCCATTGAAAAGAACAAGACATGGACATTAACTGAGTTGCCTGCTGGAGCTAAAAAGATCGGTTTCAAGTGGGTTTACAAGACCAAGTACAATGAGCATGGGGAGATTGACAAGCACAAGGCACGCTTAGTAGCCAAAGGCTACTCATAGAAGCACGACATAGACTACACAAAGGTCTTTGCACCAGTGGCAAGGATGGACACGGTGAGAACGATCATTGCATTGGCAGCACAAAATGGTTGGAAGATTTTTCAGTTGGATGTCAAGTCAGCATTCCTTCATGGAGAGCTAAGTGAAAATGTTTATGTTGAGCAACCAAGGGGTTACGAGAAGAAAGGCAAGGAGCATTTGGTCTACAAGCTACACAAGGCTTTGTATGGATTAAAACAAGCTCCACGAGCTTGGTTTAGTGAGATCGAAGCACATTTCATCAATGAAGGCTTCCAGAGGTGTGACAGTGAGCAAACTTTGTTTACAAAGAGGAATTGTCATTGTAAGTATCTATGTTGATGATTTAATTTTTACTGGTAGTGATGAGGATATGATGTCTGAGTTCAAGAGTTCTATGTTAAGAGAATTTGATATGTCTGATTTGGGAAGCATGAGATTTTTTCTTGGCATCGAAGTACTTCAAAGAGCAGATGGTATCTTTATATGTCAAAAAAAATGTATGCACTGGAAATTCTGAAAAGATTTGGGATGCTGGAAAGCAATGAGGTGAATAGTTCGATTGTTCCGGGCTTTAAGATTAGTAAAGATGAAGATGGAATCGCTGTGGATGAGACGTACTTCAAGCAATTGGTGGGAAGCTTGATGTACGTTACTGCCACGAGACCAGACATGATGTTTGTCACCAACCTCATAAGCAGGTGCATGGCAAAACCAACTGAGCTTCATCTACAAGCTGCGAAGAGAGCTCTTCGATATCTAAAGGGGACTGTGAATTATGGAATTCATTACAAGAGAGATGGAGATGGTAAATTGCTTGCTTTCACGGATAGTGATTATGCTGGAGATATGGAAGATAGGAAGAGTACAAGTGGCTATGTGTTCTTGCTGAGTTCTGGTGTTGTGTCATGGAGTTTGAAAAAACAGCCAATTGTTACACTATCTACTACGGAAGCAGAGTTTGTAGCAGCTGCAGTGTGTGCGTGTCAAGCAATTTGGATGAAAATAGTATTGAAGGAGCTCGGGCATAATGATGAAGTCTGTACTCATATCAAGTGTGATAATAGCTCAACCATTAAGCTTTCAAAGAATCTTGTGATGCATGGTCACAGCAAACATATCGATGTAAGGTACCACTTCTCGAGGAATCTTACAAAGGAGGGTTCGATGGCTTTGGTTCATTGTGGGAGTGTTGATCATGTGGCAGATGTAATGACCAAACCACTGAAGGTTGATGCGTTTTAGAAGCTTCGGAGCCTGTTGGGAGTTTATGAGATTGCTTATGTAAACTAAATGCTTGATGGCAGTTAGTTTAAGGGAGGGAATGGCGGGTTTGGGATTCCTAATTACTATAGGATTCTCAGATATTTAGGTTTGTTTTCTGTTTCAAATAAGTCCTTACTATGTAGGGAGACTTGTTTTACTATTTTTTACTCTTTCCTTATGCACGTTACCACATTTCTGTTAGTGTGAATCATGGGCTGTATTTCAGCTGTTTGTTAGTTCATGTGAGGCTATATAATAGCCAAAGGTTGCTGTTCAATAATAAGTCATTCAATCCAGTTCTTGCGTTTGAGTTCTTTGCTTTCTTGGTCTCATTCCCAACACACCCCACCACTCTTTATATTAAGTTTTAGAAAAACACAAACTCCTCTACACCTTTATTTTATCAAAGATTATTGAAGAGAAGTTTGTTTTATCCAAAGATTTATGACCCTTTGCTGTTTGGAATTTTAAAAAAAACTAGTAAAGTATAACTACCACCCTCTTTTCCCATTTTGAAATATGGGATTGGAATATGAAATTCTATTGTATAAATATCGAATCAGACAATAGAAATATTAATTTGTTAGGTGGATCAAATTGACATATAATTTTGATTTTTTGAAGTAGCAAGATGCTCTGGTTGCTTTATGTTCATGTGTCTACTAATACCATCTCCAGTAGGGTATTTATCCATCGTTTTTCCTAGTTCATTCCAAAAAAAAATTCATTTTAAAAATAATAAAAAAAATAATTCTGCTACACATTTGACAACATTGTTTTTATCTCATTAAGTAATGTGAGGGTGAGGTGAACTTAGAGTGGTGAGGGCAAGATAGCGGGGGTGTGGGGTGTGAGGTTGATGAGTTTTTTATTTTTATTTTTTCTTGTGTGTGTATATTTAAGGGTAGTTTGGAAAAAAAGTGGGGCTTTCTTAGAAATTGTGAAAATTTGAATCAAAAGTTGGGGTGAACTTAGAATATGAGGTGAACAAAGAAAAGTTCGGGATTTAAATAGAAAAACTCTTTTTTATTGTATAATAAATGTTCATTTAGCCAGTCATAATTCCAGTCCCTAAATTAAATTTAATAAAAATGATTCAATTTCATTAAGGGGTAAACGACAGCGTTTCCTCGCACTCACCAGCGTGCTTGAACTCCTGCACTTCCTTAAAGCCCACCCATGGCTTCACCCAGACTTTGGCATCGTAAAGGTTCTTCTTTCTGGCATCGATGGTCTCGATCGTCAGATGGTGCAGAGTGCTAGCAACCACTGCAAGAATTTCAATTAATTGCTTAATAATCTAATTAATTAAAATTCTAGCATAATATTGAAGAAATGGATTTCAAGGTAGGCGTCCCATAGTAGAGAGAAGGAGGAAGGGGGAATGGATTTCAAGGTGCGCAAGGTTGGTTGGAGCTGCCATTGACACATGGGATGGGGAAGGTGATCTATTTATTTTTTTCAATTTTAATTGTTTAAAAGATATACAATTTTTGTTATAATGAATTTTTCATGTTTAAAATACCCTAGAAAATAGAAAGACTAAAATACCCTTAAAATATATGGAAAATTGAATGGTGTTAAAGTTAGATGACCAATCAAGGATTTTGAAAAATTAAAGTGACATTTCTCTTAAATTTTTCTTTAAGATGACAAATTGAAACTGAGGTATAAGTTTAGGTGATATTTCTCCAAATTGAAACTGAGTATCATATAGCATTTGTCTTAAAATTGTTGAGCGTTAGCAAGCAAAACATACATTCACTCATGGAAATAAGAAAGAGAAGGTATAAAATATTTCAGTGCCAATTTAGTTCCATGCACAACAATTTTAATTTTTAAGTGCAACTAAAATGTGAGTGCATGTTTATTTACTTGTTAACGCTCAAAAATTTTAAGAGAGATGTTATGATGAGTTGTGCATGTAGCTCCTACTTTTAATATCCCAACTCCTAAGTGTCTTCTAATTTGCTGAAGTGAAGGCATAACAAGGAAGATTTCATGGTAACAAGGAAGAGAAGGGTCATAACAATCTATAAAAACAGAACATGGAAAAAATGGTAACATGAGTAGCCCATCCCATAGCTTAGACAACCTCAGAAGATTTCACATTGAACTTCAATGACCGTCTGCTTGTCAAAATTCTTGAAATGTATGGAAACATTGAATATATGTAACATTCGACGAAAATGCTATAATGTGTATAGACAAAGCTTTTGTTGGAAACAACAATCAGTATCAAACTGGCTGCCCTTGAAGGATTCATAGATAAAGCTATAATCTTTCAATGCGGGACAAGAGGAAATTGAACTTCAACAATACGAGCTTTAACAGGTTTAAGTACACAATCCATGGCTGTCTTTGAAGGATTCATAGACAAAGGCCAACAAACTGGCTGCATATGGCATTACATAGAAAGCAACTTTCAACAACATCATCATCCGATAAAGTTTTCTTGCAAGAAAACCAAACGAAGACGTGGCCCACAGAGTTAACATCAATTTATCTTGTTTGAGATGAAGAATTCTTCATCAACACAAAGAGAGCTTTTCCATGTGGTCAGATCAGATGAAGGCCGCCCCTCCAAACACAAATGAACTATCTGCAGGACAAGATAGCTCTGATCAAAGAGCTAATAGAAAGCATATAATAAGGATGTTAAGTTTATTGCTGTCGTTAAGTATCCCTTTAGTAAAAAACATGTGCCCCTTCCACTGCCGTCAAGGGACCTTGTAAATTATCAGAAAGATTAAGATGGATGGTTCCGAGCAACGGTCTAGTGCAAAGAATATAAACAAAGGTGCCAACTTTCAAATATAAAAAAGCAAACTTACTTTTCTTTTTGATTTCACTAAGGTCAATTGGCAAACCTCCACACAATCACCTGCAAGATCATGTGATGATGGTCAGTAATGAGTAATCCTGTAAGCTTCATAATACAAGGAACAGAGATTGTGAGTGAGTGGAGCAATACCTTGGAGAGATCTCAGCCCTATGTTTTCTGCTACAGCTTTCATTCTTTCTCAAAATCTTCAACTTCAACACATCAGAGCATGCATTTCTTGAGTTTGTTGGAAGATGATAAGGTCATTCTACCATAAAAGAGCATGCAATTGTTGGAGAAAGATGGATATGAGAGAATATGGAAGAGAGTTTTAAACAGAAAAACTGAAGCTTTATTGATTTCCTAAAATTGATTACGACACTAGGCCATCTTATTGGCTATTTATAATAACATTCAGATCTTTTCATAACAGACATAACTCTTGGATTAGTTGCAGACACAACTCTTGACTTCTAAAGAGATACAACTCTTCCTAAACATAACTTTTCATTTGTAAACTCTCCTCGGGCAGTGACTTGAAAGAAACCTGCAAATGAAGAAACGTTTATGAGAAGGCTTAAGACAGACATAAGTTGTGATCAGCATGCTCTTGGATACCGATAAAATCAAATTTATCTAGTATAATAAATAAAATAAAATTTGCAATTTAAGGCAAGATTCTTTTCCAATATGTGTGATGTGGGGGATAAGGATAAGGCATAACTTAGAACAACCAAGACTTATCAGAGAAAAGGAGAGAGATGATAAACAAAGCTTAAACAAGGTTAATTCCCTAAGAAAATTTTGTAATTGCTGAATGATCTTTCTGCTCAACCAAAGAACACCAGTTGATACTAAGAAAATATACATTAGTAAAGTGACAACGTTTATAACATACATGCAGTACCTGGGAAATTCCAAAGATAAATTAATGGCATGAACCTATTAAAATTCCCAATGAATGATGAGTATCATTCTCACATCTTCAACAAGATGACAGCAATAATGTACTGCCGGTTTTATCTAACAGGTTATCCATAGACATTGAATACATTTTTATTATGAAAGAGTACCTAAAAATGTGGGACATTTGATGCCTATCTGTAGGAATGTGTCAATCTAGATATTCCAGGTGAACCTTTACCGTCTCCCCTCGTTGTGACAATTGTTTTTGTAGAAGAACAAAAGTCTATGAACAATGGTAAACCCACCTTGCAAATGAAAAGCTTTCCAAGAGAAGGTGCTGTCCTGCAAAGTATTAATTATATTCAGCATTTGAGACTTACTATAAGACATAAGTTGCAAAGAAATTGAGTAAATAGAAGGAGAGAATTTACTGGGCAAAATAATAATAGAAATTGGATTGAGTTTTTGTGTGTTTTTCTGGAAAATGATTCTGACAATGAGATGAAATATTAGAAGAAGCATTCGATGCAACTATAAAGGTTAATTGGATGCAAAATTGATGGCAAATTTGGGGACATAAAAATAGTTTAAAATGTGTATTTCGGTTTATTTGGATAGTGAATTTCAGTTTTTGTATTGAATTAGAAGAAAAGCAGTTAAAGCGGTTATTTGAAGTACATACCTTACCTGAGTTTGTTTGTCTCCCTATGTGTGTGAGAGAGAGAGAGAGGTCATATCATCATATGATGACTTCATCATTTATCCAGATGCAAGGAATGTGAGATATGTTGTCCCAATGATCTTGTCCCGTCTTATTCTGATACCTTTTCTCCAGGCCAGAACATCTAAAGATCTTCAGATAAGAAAGAGATGGCGGCAGACCCTCTTCTGGCAGGAATTGGAGATTGTCACAACACCTAATTTCTAGCCTTTGAAGAGAAGTGAGGTGCTGAAGTGCCTCTCCTGGCAGGAATTCCAGACTGTCACACCTACTAATAAATAGTTCTTGAAGAGAAGTAAGGTGTGCAAGTCCCTTTCCATCCAAAGATTTCAGAGTTGAAAGTTCCTCAATGATGAGACTGCGAAGAGTGGTAGGGAGCAGCTGTTGCTTGAGCAATGTCTCCAAGATTTCATCACTTCCCCTGCCACCAATATGAAGGTATTTAAGGGAGACAAGTGCTTGCAAACCCCAGTTACAGTAGTCTCCCACTGATGAAGATGAAGCCCTCAGTCTCTCACAATTCTCAATCCTAAAATGTTGGAGGTTGGGAGGCAAACCCCCATCTTCTGCAATTGACTCCAGATTTTGAAGATTCCTTATCCACAATCTTTCAAGGGCTGTGAAGGTGTGAATGCGTTCAGGTAATGACTTCAACTTCTCGCATCTGCTGAATTCCAATTGAGTCAGGTTGGGAGTGGACAATCCTCCCTGGGGAAAACACACCAGATTTGGACAGCCTAAGATATTTAAGTTATCGAGATGGCTGAGATTCTCAACCGCTCCTTCTTCTTCAATCAAGCAAAGCGATTCCAGATTCTCACAATACCCAATATTAAGTGTCGTCAATTTGGGAAAAATCCCGAACGACCTCATTGAATTACAGCTCTTATGTATAGTCAAATAGTCGAGTGATGTTAATTTGGCCAACATCTCATGAGGTAGGAAATCTAATCTCCTACAATTGATTATATAAAGTGATGTCAACGTAGTGGGTAGGCCATCATTAGGAAACGATGACAGGGTTGGACAATTCCAGAGAATCAAACGTTGAAGACGATTGATGTTGGGCAAGCATTGTATGTCATTAAAATTTTGAATCTTAAGTCGGGATAGGAGTTTTGTCTCTAGTAATGATAACAGACCTGTTTGGCATCCATCTTTGATTTCCAATTCTTGAAGAGAATTGTAGTTGAGACTAGTACTAGTACTAGTAGTAGCAGTGGCCCTCTGATCATGTAAAACTCCACACCCTTCCATGCAAAGTTTCTTCAAGCAAGGTAGATCACAAGGCAAGCTTCCTCTCAACTTTGGACACTTTTCTAGAATTAGCTCCAGGAGACGAGGAAAGTCTGGACCTCCACTTCCACTTGGTACCCATTCCTCCCACTCTGCCATCTCCTTAAACTCCAGCCTCTCCAGCGATTGAAATGGTTGAAATGGCTGACCATACAACTCAGGACCTAACGTCCTAAGAAATTTCATCTTACGTATGAAGAGCTCCTTAAGAGCAGGTAGCTGTCCAAGCGGTGGCAACTCAAAACAATAATGACAGCCTTCGAGGCGCATAACTTTTATTTTATTGAAGGCAGAGTCTCCCAACCAATTTGGGAAGCTGGTCCCTCCATAACGTTTGACGGTCAATTTCTCCAAATTCATGCAAGGTTGGAGCTTGTCAAGTACATCTCTCACTTTTGTGGAATCATCCGAGTCTTCATTGCCCCATTCGAACTCTAACTCCTTTATATCCTTCTTATTCTTCAAATTGGCTTGCACGGCATCCTTAGCATCAACTACATTTTGTAGTTTAAGTTTTCCTCCAAGATGTGGAAGCTCCCCCAATTCCCCAATGGTTGACCCAGTAGATTTCCCCACAACAAAAGCAGTCAACGTTCTCAAACTTTTTAGTCTACTCATTTGCGATGGCATCTCTGCAATTTTAGTTCCACTCACATCAAGATGATGCAAACTAATTAATTCCCACAGGTCTACAGGCAATTTAGCAAGAGACGCACAACCTCCCAGCATTAATTTCTGTAAATTTATCAATTTTCTCAAGTCTGCAGGTAATTCAACGAGAGATGAACAATTTGACAATAGTAACGTCTGCAAATAGTACAAACTGCAAAGTACACTAGGTAACCTTTCAATTGCAGTACCAGAGAGATCCAAATAGCGCAAGTGAATAAGATTTTTAATAGAATCAGGTAGCTGAGTGACATTCCTATAACTTGACAATGATAACGCCCGTAAACATCTGTGTGACGACAACAAATCTTGTACAACCTTTTTACTTAGATAATAATTTTTATAAGAGTTATATGGATTTAAAGAGGTAGGTAGGAAGGTCCGCAAACACTTAGCCCCCTTTAATTGCTCAAATTTAAGAGAAACATCATATTCTTCCCTAGCATATGACAAATGGCGAACTCTTTCTACTTCATGTGATTCCCTCCCTTCCCACCTAGAACAAAATCCTTTAGACATGAACACAGCCAAGTCATGGATGAGATCATGCATAACGAAACTTGATTTCCCCGATGTTTGAAACAATGATTGGGATAACAGTTCATCAAAATATTCCTTAGCCACTTCTTCCATGTTGTCTCCATTCTCCGCTTGGGGAATTAAACCTTCTGCCATCCAAAGAAAAACGACTTCTTCTACCTTGAATTCATAGTCTTTTGGAAAAATTGAACAATAAATAAAGCATCGCTTTAACTTAGCTGGAAGATAATGATAACTCAATCTTAGAGCAGGAAGAATGTCACTTTTCTCTAAGGTAACTCCCAAATGCTATTGTTTAGTACTCTGTTCCATACCTTGGAGTCTAACCTGGAACGTAAAAAACCGCCAAGTGTTTGTGCAGCTAAAGGCAACCCATTGCACTTTCGTGCAATTTTCTTGCCGATTTCTTCCAAGCTTGGATATGCACTACAACTTACATTTCCAAACGCATGTTTTGCAAGTAATGACCAACAATCTTCATGCGACAATGGTTCCAAGGGTTGAGTGGGAACATTTTGCATGAAAGATGCTACATTTTTGTTTCGTGTTGTTACGATGACTTTACTTCCCCTTGCCCCTGAAGTAAAGGGAGTTTGGAGGCAGTTCCAATCATTATATTTTTCATTCCAAAGGTCATCCAACACAAATAAAAATTTCTTCCCCCTAAGTTGTTCTCTTAGTTCAACTTGAAGCAAATTCAGATCTGTTGTATTGCAAGTTTTTGAAGTGACTGACTCAAGAAGAGTTTTAGTTACCCTGATAGCATCATAGTCTTCTGAAACACAAGCCCAAGCTTTAAGTGTAAAATGCTCTTTCACCTTATCATCATTGTAAAGCATGCGGGCAAGGGTTGTCTTGCCAACCCCGCCCATTCCAACAATGGTGATGAAGGACACATCCTCCTTGCTTGCATCATTAGAGAACAACACTTTTGATAAATTTTCTTTGACTTCTTCTCTACCATATATATAAGGTTCATGAACCAAGGAAGTTGTTGGAGTTCTTTGTAAAACCTTCCTCCCAACAACTTCCGTCAAACCAAGAGCACCTTTCAATTGTGCAAAGTCTTCTAATTTTCGTAACAACTCTTGTATCTTAACATTCATGCTTTGATAAAACTTATTACGAGAAGTAGGGAGGAAGTTCCGCACCTTGTTGGTTAATTTGTCGGCTGTTTGAGCTTCACCTTCCAGCTTGCATCGCAAGGCTTCATAGTTGATCTCATCCAGCAAGTCCTCAGCATCAAAGACTGCATGTTTGAGGTCATCAAGCCACTCTCTCACAGCTGGTTTCTCAATTTGTTTCTCCTCTGCATCATCGAGCACTGCGTTCAAGGTCAACAGCGTCCTCTTCAGTTTCATGAGGAGAGGTTGATCGAGTTTCTTGTGCCGAAATAAGTCGACGAACTTGGGTGAAGCAATTCTGTAACAAATCACCTCGATGGAAGCAGAAATAAAGGCCTCTCCGATCAAAGCTCCAGCCATTTTTCTCTTCTTTTCTTTGCAAGGGAATTGGATGAAGTAATATTCCGACGTTCGCAGATAGCTCAGCTAGCACGACTTGGAAATACAGTCAAGGCAGTATGAAAGCCTTTTGTGGTTGAAATTATATATTCTCTATTTAACAAGTACCGTTGGTTGGCTGTTTTGTCAGTGTTCGAGTTTTTTAGCGCAATTGATGATAATTTAAATTAAATTATAGTTAAAATGTCTTTCTCTTGGGGACAAGTTTTTCAAACTTTTCTTTGCCCTCAAATTGGGAGGGTTCGTCAAATTATGAATTCAAATTGTGCAGGTGGGTTCTTGGGACCCACACGGCCTAAGGAATAATACTCCGGTGTGGACTGTTGGAGAGTGGAGGATGACAAGATAACAACCACAATTCAACGGTCCGCAAGTGGAACAGACTCGAATGCCATTAAACTCTTTGTGAATCTGCGGCTCTTAACATATTTCAATAGATAAGGTAGAGGGAAGAAAAGTGGGGGTTTATTCAATCCATAGAGCTCACAGATGCTTAATGACTTGTTTCATAAGACTATTATCATAGAGTTTTATACACTTTTTTGTTTATTTTATGAATAGTATTATCTTTTAATATTTATCAAAGTAGTGTATAACCAAAAGGAAATTACTTATAATATTTATCTTTTGTATATGATAACTCATGAGAACATACATGAAACCAAAAATGTAGCAAAAAAATAATTTGGTACATTTTTAGATTGATTATGTATTGATATCCACCACGGGGTATGTTTTTACTTGTGGTGGAGAACTGAATAGTTGAAGAGCGGTGCTACAATCTGTCATTGCTTTGTCTACTACCGAAGTAGAGTATATGGCCTTAATGGAGGCTTCTAAGGAAGTGTTATGGTTGACGAAATTGGCTAAAGAGTTCGGGATAGCTCAAGACTTGGTGGTGATACAAAGTAATAGTCAAAGTGCCATATATTTAGTCAAGAATCAAGTGTTTCACAGAAGGGTCTAAGCATATTGATGTACGGTACCACCGGATAAAAGATTGGGGGAATGATAAGGACATTGCAATAGAGAAGGTTCATATGGATGAGAATGCTTTGGATTGCTTGACCATTCCAATCACAGCTGAGAAGTTCAGACACTGTTTAAGCGTGCTCAATCTTGTTACATGCTGAAGATTGAGGTGGAGCTCTTGAGAATTACTAGAACGGTTTCTAAGAGGTTTGAAGAGGTTCTAGGGTTCAATGATTTTCATAAGGTGTTTAATGCTTGCCAAGGTGGAGATTGTTGATGTTAGCTCACTTAAATATGCGGAAGGATTGAAGGAAACGGGCAGTCAAACAAGTCAAAGACGTATTGATTGGGCTCTAGCGATCGAGCAGGACAGAGAAGGTTTTCATCCAAGCACAGGTGCTTGAGCGCTTGCTCGAGCTGCGCAAGTGGTGCTCAGTGCTCGAGCGGGCCACACAAATCCAGTGTGTATCCCTGGCAAATCTGGACAAATTTTCTCTTAGTTTTGGGGTCCTTTAAGTTTCCTATTCCTTGTATAATTGCACTAAAGCCCTATGACATATAAATAAGCACTTTAGCGTTAGGCTATTGTAACGTGAGAAAACTAAGGAATCAAATTGGGTTTGAGCCAAAGGTGAAAGAAAAGAGAGCCAAATGGGTTCTTTCGTATTAGTGAATTTCTTGGGAATCACTAGAAGGACGTAGGCACAACGTTGAACATCTATAAATTATTGTATTCTTTGTGTGTGTGTGTTTACTGTTTGGTCTTGTGTGTATTTTATCTTTGCGTAACTTATGTATGTCCAAAAGGCCTAATTTGGCACGTCTAGTCCAAAACCAAAAAAGCTCATGTCAATTTTGGACAACTACCAGCATTCTCTTTTTGATTGGGCCAAACACTTAGCACAACAGCCCATTTTTGAACAACATGGAACAAAGATGAGTTGGTTCTTCTTTCAGAAAAAGCAAGGAAAAGACCTCCATAAAAACTGATTATTGATGGTTCTTCTCTGCCAGAACAGATAACTTCCCCTTTTCTTTGACATTTAAAAATGAAAGATCTTGCTTTTAGAAAATCTGCCACCCATTATTTAAAGATTAGAAAACCCACTCTGGCATTTCCTATAAATATGAGAGGAGGTGAACAGATCAAAGGACAACCAAAAAACCAATCAAAAACAAAAACTCAAAATTATCATTTGATCTCAAAAACCTTCAAAACATCGAAGTAACCAAAAGCTCATTGAGCCACAAGAAACAAGTGAGTGACAATCCAAAAGCTCTAAAAAATAAGTTCAGTTTTAGAGAAATAGTTATTCAAAGCGAGATTTCTCTCATTACAAATTTGGTTTAGCATAAGCCAAATCGAGTAGAGTTAGAGTTTTATAAATATGAAAACCTCAACAAATTTGTGGAGAGCCCTGATCAAGCAAAACAGATACTACAATGCAGTTCCAGCAAGCAATGGGGTTCATGAGGGGAATTTATGAAGAAAAATGGGGTGCAGTAAGTAATTTTAAATTTTACTAAAATTCAGTATGATGTAAAGAGAATATAGGGTGCAAAGAGCAAATTTTGGAGTGCCAAATCACCCTTTTTATTTTTATGGACTTTAGCAAAAGTGATTGAGTAGGTTGGTCATTGTGGTAATAGAGTGACCGAGTAGGCTGGTCATTGTGGTAATGAACTTTATAATGCCACGTATCTTGATACCTGGCAAGTGCCCCATGGTATTCTAGTGCCACTATGTAATTTCTAGGGATGGGCATATAGACCGAAGAATATGATAACCGAACTAAATTGAGAATAAAAAAAGAAAATCGATCGAAAAAAAAAAAAAAAAAAAAAAAAAAAAAAAGTGTTGATCAAAAGTCAAGCCCAGTACAAAAAACTAAACCGGACTGATGGTGTCTCGTTCCAGTTCTGGTTCTCCACCTCTAAAAACTAGACTGCACTAAACTGGTTTGTTTTCATGTTTATATTTTCTAGATCTTAGGAGGCCATGCACAAGAAACAATTCAGCTAATGCTACTTTCCAAGGAGACTACATGGTTGTTTGAGTGTGGTTTCAGTCTTCAGGTATGTTTTTTATCTGTCCATGGTATTATAAAACAGGAAAACAATTTTCTGTTCACTTAGGCCCTGTTCTATTCATGGGAAAGGAGACTTGGGGATGAGAAATCAATTGCTTCCCATGTTTGGTAAGTCCAGGCATGGGAAATCACTGCCTGTCCCATGGGAAAGTAGGGGGAAAGTGAAGCCATCCTCCCAACTTAAATTTTGATTTCCCTCCTCATGGGAAAGTTTGGGAAAATGAGCCAATATTAAATAAATATTTTTCATGACTATTTTGTCCCCATTAACAATTTAGAATTACAATATATCATTAAATGCATTCTTTTTTTATTTGATTTAATATGGGTATAATTGAAAATGGGATGTGATTTCCCCACTCCATTTATCTCCACTTACACTCCCTTTTGCTTTTTAATACTTTTTAATCAAATTTGTTCTTTCTTTTTCCTATTCTATCCTTACCCTACGTTGATTTCTTTTTACTTCACTTTTATATTAGTTCTTTTTCTTTACACTTAATTTTCCAACTTGCACTATATTTTCAGTATTTTTTTTTCCTTTAATCAAGTAAGAAATTAAGTTTTTTTTTTTCCCCTTTAATACTGAAAATGGAGCGTAAGTTAAAAAATTAAGTGTAAAGAAAAAGAAATAATATCAGATCCCTTACTTAAGTGAAGTAAAAAAGAAAATAATGTAGAGTAAGGATAGAATAGGAAAGAGAAAGAACAAAATTGATTAAAAAAATATTAAAAAGCAAAAGGGAGTGTAAGTGGAGAAAAAGGGAGTGGGGAAATCAGATCCCTTGAAAATTTATACAAACTTGTTTTCCATTCCTACTCGACACAAACATAAGAAATGAAATAAAATAATATCTCCCAGTTACTTTCCTAACATTACCAAACATAGAAAATGAATCTTCTATTTCCCATCTCATGAGAAATGATTTTCTCTCAAATTCGTTCTGTGAACCAAAGAGGGTCTTAAGGTTTTGTTTGAATGAATCCAGTTCATCTAATTAGAGAAAAGCTTGGTAAACCTTGTGACATGAGATTAGCTGCTCAGATTTTTGGCAACTTGATAATGGATGACATAATAGAGCTATAATTTTAAACTTTGTTGTAATTTATTTTGCCTTTTATGTATTTGTTTTGTTAAAAGTTTCAGTATTTGGTTTCATTTTCAGTATTAGAATCATTTGGGAATTCTTTTTTATTTTTGCCGAGGAACGCTTTCATGTATTCAATATCAAAATTGGGCCAATTGTAATGTAAGTCTAACAGTTTAAAAATTCAGGTTGTTTTGAAGCTTAAAAACCCCAAAAACTTAAATGGGCTTTACAGCAGGCCCACACCGTGGAGAACCATGAACCAAACCAAACCGTAACCAGCCTGGTTTGGTTCAGTTATAATATCAGTTTTGTATGAAAATCAGACCAGATCGAACCAAATTAACAGTACCAGTTTCAATTTCAGTTTGAATTTAAAACCGAGCCGAATCGGACACCCACTTTAATTTCTCTAGTACATTAATCTCCCATATCTGCTTCCCTCCATGGAGATCATTCATAGAATGGAGCTGAAAAATGCTAGAACATTGTAATTGTAACGGAAAAATAACCCACCTGTGACCAATCACCACAAGCAAGCTGGCTAAACTCTACCTGAAACTCATCGTTTCACTCAAGTTTAACCAAATCTCAAAACAACCCAGAGTACCATAAACAACCAGTGGAAGGCAATTTTTTATTTATTACATAACTTCTATTAACAATGCACCCTACAAATATAAAATACATATGGGGTGCATCACTCTAAGCTAATTAAGATTACAAGATGGAACTTCCTTTGGGAGAGGAAAAATATAAGATGAAGTTGCAAATTCTAGATGGGAAAACCACAAGGCTCCGCTTCAACAATAGCCCGAGAGTGCTTCAAAAACTATCTTATGCCAGTCATGGCTATAAAACCAGCACCTAGGCTTAAAAACAGAGGAAAAAAACATGAGCCGTAAAACTCACTCGTGTAACATCCTCTGCTATTACTCTAATAGATAATCAACGGAAAAAATATTCCCTCGTCAAACCCGAGTTGGGGAAAAAGATGACTGGAGATGTCTTCCTGTAAGTGATCATGGAATGCAAAAACATATGACAGTAAAACAAAACATTGCATCCACAACAGAGACTTTCTGCTTCCACATTCTTCAGCTGTTCCTTTTTACAAAAACTATCTGTGAACTAGAAAGATGCTCAAACACAGAGTTGTTCGGTTTGGGGTTACCCTCAGCTGCTCCCTGGAGCTTTATCTGCAATATAGTAACATTTAAACATTAGACTTGCAAGATATGTAAATATATATATACCGTTTCTTGGTCAATGAAATACACATCTAAGGACAAACAAATAAGGGTACTGATTTTTCCACTCCCTTTTTATCCACTCACATTCCATTTTTTAAAATTGTATGTTCTCACTCCCTTTTGTTCACTTACACTCCCTTTTATCTTATAGTAAAAAGTATTAAAAAACAAAAGGGAGTGTAGGTGGATAAAACGGGAGTGGGAAATTCACCACCCACAAATAAATAATGGCAAGAAATAAGTAACTGAACTTCAAAAGTTTTTGTTTTTAAATTTCATAAGTTAACATCACAATTCCTTCTCTTGTTGGATAAATTTTTGTTTCATATCCACTTTAAGCATGCAGGAGCTTCTTGTTTTCAATTTAACCACAGCCAACATTTAGTTAAGCAATTAACAGTTAATTTGTAGGGTGGCACAAATCCATCTCGTGGTGTGCCTCCCAGATAGGAAATCCAGTTAGTCGGGTCAGTTGGTACCAAATTGTAATACAGGAGGGCTTACTAATGTTGTTGTCAAAAACAAGACTTAAAAGTAATAGTGCAGCACTTTCAATGAAATCATAAAATGGAGTATGATTCACAACCTAACAGACAAGAAGAAACTAATTTCTGCAGAAACCCACTAACAAATGATCTGACAATTTGTAATGAATCAATTTAATACGAACATTCCTCAGCAAGGATTCACATATTACAAAATCCCTCCCTCCCAGATATGAGCACGTAGGTCCCATTCAAAAATACACTGGAACTTATGCCAATGTTTAACATTAATGGCAAGTATCTGGGTCCACTGTCCACTAAAATCAAAATTTCCACTAAATTCAAGCCCTTAGATCGGCGGGTTTACCCTTTCTCTCCTAGGGTATAGATTGATCGCAACCCTAGGATTGTATTTGCATTTAGTGGGAGTAGATGAAACTTAAGCATACTTTTATTTAATCAATTGTTTTCTATTTAAACCAATTCAATGGGAAATTCTTAGGCGCAAGATAGGATTTTAGCATTCAGGATGAGTACAGTACGTGCTGTTGACAGATACTTGTACTCCTTAATTATCTAGTACTCAATGAAATTCAACTGTATATATCTTTTTTTTTCTTTTCTTTTTTGGTTTATAAAAATGTAACAATGATTAATAAAGATATAAAGATCTCTGAACTCAGATCTGTATTAGGCCTCACTCAATGGAGAGGAAAAATGCAAAGCCAACAACCTCAAGAACTCAGCTTTGGGATTAAGTGAAGATATAGAGATTACACTGCCCCATGCATAGTGCAAATTTCCATAAAATAAACTATCATTGGACGTTGGGTATTCAAAATCAGTGCAAAGACACAGGAATTTAATATAACCAAATCTAAGTTCATCATGCCAAAGTTAAAATTGAAAGTAGAAATTTATGTTTCATAGAAAGTTTCAAAAACAATGATTGTTTATGATGAAAATTAAAGAGAGAGACAGAGACAGAAAGCCAGAGAGATTTCAAACAATGTAATCGTGTAGCCAAGAAAAGAAAACAAAAACAAAAAAACTAAGTAGCTCACAAACCTCATAGTGTTCAAGCAATGATGCAAATAATGTGGCCACTCCATTGAGTACAAATTTCTCGCCAATACAAGCACGTAAGCCATAGCCAAAGGGAAGAAAGGCCGTATTTGCATTTGGATCATTCAAACTGAAGGAGCTCTGTCCAGGATTCACAATGTTTTCAGCAGCCCCTGAGAACCGTTATAAACCAAACTTTGTTACAGACGGAGCATGTGAACCTTGATGGTGTGATGCTATTTTAAACTAATTTCCTGCCAGGGTTATTAACTTACTATACAAATTCAAACTCCTTATCATGCATTTTGGATAAGGAAGTGTCAATTTAAAACCAAGCGAGAACTAAACTCAAACGGAAAAACCAGCTTCTTTACAAGAATATTTAGCAAACATTTTATTATTCTCTTACAAAATGTACATCCCGTGCAATTCAAGATGGCATAAAGGATTGGAAATGGCATCTGATACAATGCACTAAAAGTCGTATACTACTGCAGGATTTGCAAAGAAATGGAAAGAGGCACAGTGATTAACAACAGTTTATGATTAGTTAAAACTGCTATAACTGCACTGCACATTTTCAGAGAAAATGCACTATAGGGAACTTGAAAGCTATATAAACAAAGTTGAAATTGGAAATAGGTAGGAATGAAACCTGAAACTGATTTATTGAGCATAATATCAGATCCCTTTCCAGGCTTGGATAAAAAGCGATATGGATTAAATTCATTATCACCACTTCCCCAACTGCAATCATCCATCTGTACCAGCTGTATAGGCACAGCCAGTCCTGCTCCAGCTGGTATGGTTACACCACTTTTAAGATTCAAGTCTTCAAAGGGAAAGGAAGAAAAAAATAATTAATGCCAAGTATTAAATAAATGACAACCATCATAGAACAGGTGGAATTAAATAAGCAACACCATTCAATTTAGCATCACAATTAGGTAAGCTGGAGCTGAAGATCAGTAAGGAATCTAAAGGAGCAGTTAGCTGAACAGCATTCACAAGATGCTATCATATCCACAAGTCTAACTACCTTGAGAACCTTAATTTCAACCAATCTGATTGATAAACCCAAATCAGTTTATCTCCCCCACCCCAACAACAAAAAACAAAAACAAAAACTCTCTGCAGTTTAGAAAAGGTTGACAAAATAAATGCATCTTCAACCAATGGTTCATCAAATGTACTTTTCTTCCTTGATATTGTGAAATATAAAACTCGCCCAACATGTACTCACAGCATCATATTTTGACATAAACCTTAGAAATCTCTTATCATTTTTCATTTTGCTTTGCCTGATATCAAAAGTGCACCATATTCATATTCCCATATAAGTAAAAACACCAAAACTCTAAGACCTGGTTATAGATAGCTCAACCACCTCAGAGTAGTCACTTCAATATCCTAAAAGCTCTTACTTATAACCTCTGTTGTTAAAATTGAAAATCAATCCATACAAAAAGCAGAAATTCCCCGGTGCAATTGTACATATGCATGTCATGGCTTATACGTGTTGCAACCACATGAATCAATCTATTTCATATGATAAAGCATCTATTTACTTATCACAACTTTCGGATGTATACTTCTTGAACTCAAATTTCAACTTATTTTTATAGGGTTTTACTACTTTTTGGAAAAATGGATACTAATAAAGAAAGACATCAGTAAGTGTCAAACCACCATCATCAAGATTTCCTACATGAACTGTACAAAATACAACTACTAAACCTCCAAAACTAAAATAGCTTATATTTAGCTGAGTCCCACCCCTCCACTCATCCTTTCTTTCTTTTCCAAAAGTACACCCATATTTATGACTTTACTTCTGACAAATCCTGACATTTGGACCTTCATGCTTCTGCGTTCTATATTATATATATCACATGTTTTTCTGATGCAGGAGTATCTAATGCCTTCCAGGTCTAAGTGGGCCCGCTGGCCAATTAGGCTAGGGTTCTAATTACTTTAAATTATTAGTTATTTTGATATTATAGTTTTCCTATTCCAATTAGGATTTGGTTTAATTCCCTTTATTATGTTAGGGTTTGATGGCTATGTAAGCCTCATTAAGAGTTGTAATAAGGGTCTTTTATAAACTTTATTAAGAAATTACAGAATATAGCGTTTATCTTGGGTCTCTGTCTACATCTCTATTATCATCTTTCCAACTTTTATTCTAGTGCTTTATCCCTCTATTCTCTGTGTTTTTGATCGCATGGATTCCATTTTTACCGTGGTTTGGCACAGTTTAGTTGCTGGACAGCAGCTTATTTCTACTGCCCTGCATCATTTTCATTAGCTTCACCCTCAAAGTTCCTTGTATGAATTCTTTCTTTTTGAACTATTTGAAAATATATTTCAACCTCGTGTCCAGTCTAGTGTTTGAACCTCATGATGAACAGATTTGAGAAGATGAGTTCATTGCCTCAATTAACAGCCATGTTTGGTTAATTGAGCACAGGTTAGTTGTTGAATGATATTAATTAGAAAACCTAAAGTTGTTCTGAAAATGTCTTCATATGGATCTGTCTTCCTGGTTTTGGTTTTCCTGGGTCATTAATTCTTGTTATTGAACAGTTATTCGACTTCATGTTTTATTTTATCAAAAAAGGGTTTGAATTTCATCCAGTAAATTAATCTCACGGCTCTAGATCTGAACATATTTAGATTTTTTGGCATCACTAAGAAACTGCCATTAGACCCCCTTACACAAAACACTAAAACACAGAGGTAGAGAGACAGATATTTTCATACAGAAATTTAAGAACAAAATGGTGAGTAGTGTTACCGTGTTTGAGAGAACATCTCTGTAGCAAAGATCCAGCTGACACAAGACGAGCAGATTCGTAAACAGTTGCCAATAATAAGAGCATCTTATCAACATTCAGTTGGTCTTTTTTAATTGAACCATTTCGTGCCATGGTTATCTCTGAGTAGATCTTTAGATACAAACAAAAAAGATTTAGGATCATAACAGCTTAATGTAGAAAGATATAATCATCAATTTTATAACAAGCAACCAAAAGCAGCAGTATTAGACTCAATCAGGTTACTGCAAATCCATATCCCTTTTAATTGAAACACTGATTAAAAATATATTTAGAAACTCATACACAAATATGGGATCAAAAAACATTTTGTCAAAGAAACAAGAAAAGACATTTATAAATTTGATGTCGCATGGGTGATCGGAACCTTACATGATATAGGTTAGTATTGTTGGATATGGTTAAGTCAAAGAAAGCAATTTGTTCCCAGTTCTGCAACCCAAATGCTATATAACTTTGATGGTGGGCCCAGTGCACCCATATATTAGACTCAGTTTGGATAAGCCAGTCACTTAACCTAATGATAGCCATATAAATTTTCAAAATGCTGGTTTATGTATCTTCCTAATTTTCATTTCCACTAGGATAACAGTGTTTCTTTGTATAGTTGCTCAAACTAATACTGCATCAAGGAAATATATAGGTTAAGAATGTTATGGTATGCAATAACACAGAAACAAAGCTAATTGCTATATGAAATAATTATAATAATAATTAATTATCATTACTAGTAGTCAAATTTATATCATTATTTATCATTATTATTACTATTAATATTATTATTATCACTTTTTTCATTATTTTCTGCAACGTCCCTAATAGGGCAAACGGAGGGTTTCTTCAAACAAGGAGCTGGGTGTTTCCTATAATTTCTTTTGGGGAAGTGAACAGGGAGTTCAAAAAGGAGAAAGAAAAATAATAAAAACAAAGATGTTAAGCAAAATGTGTGAAAAAAAAAAGTACATAAAGACATGCCTTGTTTACACTCAACTAGATCAAATGTCAGCTTTCACAGAATAAATTTCACGAAGAAACATTAAACATTAGAAAGGACTGGAGAGAGACAGAGAGGGAGAAAGAAGACAAGGGAGCCAGCTACCTTATCCTGTATCTGTGGATGCATACCAAGGCTCACCAAAATATTATTAATCAAACGAGCTGTGGTAAGGCATCCATGGAACATAATCCTCATAAGATTCCCGCATGGTTCCTCTTCCGTTGCATTAAGATGGCCATTAAGCTCCTGAAAGAATAAGGCATCTACTATCACAACTTCAGAGCAAGATGGTCCATCAGATGCAATCTCCTTTCCCAAAATTTCTGTTTCACCATGTAGATTATGATCCATATGACCAAACAGCATGTAGTTCTTTTTGCACTGTCGAATAATATCTTGCGTTAAGCATTTCAACTTTGTGCATAGAGACTGGTACTTCCAAAATCCATGCTTCCAAAACGGCGTAACATTATAAGAACTCCAGAGACAAGCATCTTTAGCAATCATCATAAAGAGCTCCTCATATACAGTTGCCTTGGACCAAGCCAAAAATTCATCTCCAAAGAGCGTGGCTCCTAACATGGTAAAAGCCATATGTTGAGAAACCATTTTACTGTCAGCGCTGCCTTTAGCCATAAAATTCCGTATCCTCTCCAAGATACAGTCCACAACTTTTGTACAAACCACATTTTCTCTCTCAGGAAACTTTCCAATTAATTCTGTGAATAATGCTTCCCTTCCCTTTTGCGCCTGTGAATGAGAAATACCCTTTAGGGAAAGACTATGAATGCTACCAGGTGAACTTGAGAACAATTACACAAGACTCAGAGCCATCATCATATGACAAAACAAATAAATGATGCACTAAATTACGTTTGGGGAATGACAGACTTTTACTTTGATACAAACAGGCTGAAGATATTATCAGTTAGTGACAATGTGACATGGGGCTTACCACCATAGCTCCAGCCTTATTCAAATTTCAAGTCCAAACCTTCATAACTTTTTTTCTAAAGGACTTCGATAAGTATTATATTGGCAGCTATCTAACTAAAACTTCCTCATTCCAGAGCATTACAAAATTTATTTCGCAACTTTATTCTATTTTCTCATTGTTAATAGATGACAGAAGAAAATTTGTTTTTAATTAAGGTATATGTACTCTAGAAATTAGGCTTATTTTATCTTTCTATTTATTGTAATTAGAATTTACGAATTTAGTTATCATTTGTTTTTATTATTAGAACATACAAATTAATTATTGCTTTTTTTTTCAGGTAGTTAGTTATTTTGGAATTACTTATGTACAAGCCTTTTTTTAATAAGGCTGCAGAGTTTTGCCAATTTATTGCACTAGTTTTCTAGTTATTCCCGTTCTACTGCCTATATCTTCTTTCCCTCCCCTTTCTTCTACTTGCTCTCTCTGTGTTCAATACACTTGTTACTCCTGTTTGCCCAAACAACTCACTCCTTTCATTAAACAGTCTTGTGTTTGTTGGACACAATGACATTACTATGAACTGTCAGTGCTGGGTGGTGACCACAAAGGTGATTGATTATATATGTTAGATATATAGACCAACTAATGTTTGGGACCAAATGGGGAAGAACTCTTTCGCCATTGCAACATGGTAGTAACATATTAAATTTAAAAGCCTTTTAAGTATGTAAGATAAAGAGAACTAATATTCTGTCTTGGGATACAGATTATCACTAAGGAGAACCAGCAGTTAGACCAACAGATCAATGGTTCAGTTAGATCAACAAATTCAGTTTATTGATTCCTTTCTTTTCCTTCCCTTTTCCCTTTGCAAGTTTTTCAAGGAAGACCAGCCGATAAGCTGATGATAAGGAAGGTTTTTAAGTTTACTGCCTTCAGACAGTCCTTATTGTTTTCAAGTCTTGATGCTACATTTAACATTCTGATTGATAGCGCCTACGTAGAGAAATAGAAACATTCATTTTGGCAGACACAAAATATTGGTATAACACAATAATTTTCTAATCATTACAAGTACACAGTAAAAGAGGGGCAATAAAACAGAGTGCATACCTTCTCAAAAGGGGAAGCAAAGAGACTTGACCTTCCAAAGGGCAAATGGAAAGCCCTCCCAGTCAAAGGCAATTTATCAGCAGCCTTTAGTAGCATCTCTTTGATGAGAGTTGGATCCTTTATTGACACTAAAAGCTTTGTAGGACCCAACCACAACTTGACAACAGACCCATATTTCTTGTGCAAATCCGACAACACTTCTGATCAATGCCAAAAGAAAAGAGAAATGGGTTAGATTGTAGAGAAATGGGTTAGATTGTTCTCACCCTATCCATAACACAAATTGACAATTAACCAAAACAAAAAATTAATTTTCTACTCCTCAACTTCTTTATTTTTTTGGGAATTCATAAACCTAACAAAACCAATCAAATTTTAAGTTCACATATATTACAGGTGTTTACTTCAATTTGAAATTTTGATGAAAACCCAGAATCTGAAACCCCAAGAACAGGGACAAGCCAAGTTTCACTTTCATTCATGATTCATACGCCAGCAACCAAACGCAAAAGTTGAACTGAACCCCGCGGAGCTAAGTACTCTAGTCAACTACAAAAACCCAAAAAACAAAAATAAAACCCGAAACAGAAAAGGCATCAGAGAGTGAAAACTGCACGGACCAGTAAAATTTTCGCGGGAAATGAGCTTGCAGTGGCCGTAGAAAGAGGGACATGGAGGCCCAGGAATTGACCTGGCCTTGGCCCATAAGCAGAGCAGCTTAACAACCCTGCTGAGCAGGAAAGCGGTGACCCCGATGAGGGAAAACCAAAGGAAAGCATTGAGTTCTCTGTTGGCCAAGTCCCTGAGAAGAACTCGATTGCAAGCTTCGGATCTTGAGTGCGAGAGAATCGCTAAGAGCGCGTCTGATCCACAGGAGGAAGAAAGTGCCATTTTTTCATATCAGAAATCAGAAGAAACTCGACTCAATCAACAAAGATTGTGTAATGGATGGGCAATAGAAAATCAGGAAAGTGACAGATAAATGAGTACAGAGACTGCAAGTTGCAATTGCAATTAATTAATTCAGAAGTCGCCAAGTATTTCCTTCTGTCATGACTCAGCAGCCATGAGAGTTGGACTTTTCTGTGTCAATATGTCTGACTTTTCGCTTGTGTGCCCGTTTCTCTTTGTTGATTGGAAATCAGAATGGTCCAGCATGTGACACGTTTCGGTTCTTGTAGCTTCCTTTTTGTTTTTTTCTTTTGTCATCTTCTTCTTTCTTGTTTTTTCCTTTGTTGCCACGTTTGTATTTTTTACAATCTGGATTGTATACAATTCAAACTTTTAGGTTGTGTTTGGACGAGGCACTTTGAAGTGGAAGGGAGTTAAAAAGTTACGGGATTTTGAAATGAAGCGACTTCAAAGTGATGTGGTTTTGAAATGAAGGGAGTCTAGTGATGGGATTATTAAAGCTACTCATTTGGCTAATTATTGCGTTGGTGAGATTTGATTGATAATTTGAAGGCTTGATTATTGTAATGCTCTAAAACTATTGTCAAATCTTACTTTATCATTTGAAAGTTAAAGTGACTCAGAATGCCCCTCTTATCAAGGTTTAGTAATTCACTTTGCCCCCCACTGTTAACTATGTTAAAAATTATATTAAAAAAGCTTATATAGCACGAATGGGACTCACTCTTTTGCCGAAATGTATGCCACGTAAGTACCATATTTGAAAGAAGAAAAAAATTAACAAATAGGAAAAAATATTTAGGTTTTTTTTTTTTTTTTTTTTTCTTTCATTTCTCTTCTTTCCCCATCTTCTCTTCTCAACTCCTCCTTGCCCAAAGAGCCACCCAACCACCCACGACACACACCCACTCCTTACCCATAAACCCACACAAACAGAACAAATATTCTTCTGAGATGAAGATTAGGTTTGTGGGTCGGTGGAAAATCGATCTCTTAGAAGCCAACCCTTTGCCTCCATATTCACTTTCTCCCAAAGACCCAAGTGGGAACTTCAAATTCTCCAGCTTTAATGCCTACTCTTGCAAAACCCTAGATGGGTCTTCACAATTTTCAGAAAAGGAAGTCGTAGATTGTTTATGCAAATTTCTCACGGGAGAATATTCGCGTGTAGATTCTTCACCCTTCGAGCTTTCTTCTCTCTATTCCTCGATTCATGCAAAACAAATAGGAGTAAAAGACCACACCTAGGGGGTTTTAGCCAAAGGACTTTCGATGCCTAAGTTAGTTCAATTAGATATTTGAGAAAAGATGCGGCAGTAGCTAAACTAGACGAGGTTTTCTCTACGGGGAGAATTGGATGGCCGAAGCCATGTGTGGTTGTACTTAGCCATGAGAGAGAGAGAGAGAGAGAGAGAGAGAGAGAGTGTGTGTGTGTGTGTGTGTGTGTGTGACTTTTGTGGGGTTTTAAAATTAGGTTTAGGATTACCTTGAATGTCTTGTATGTCTATGTATTTATAGTCTCCTTGTGTGATTGAGTTTTGGGAGAATAATCCTTATTTGGTTAGGATTATTCTTCCCCAAAAAGATGATAGGAATTACTCCAAGATATTTAGTGGAGATGGGTTCCTTGATTTAGGGAGATATTCCTATCTTATAGCATGTTTACTAATCGGTAATTGGATTAGGAGGAATTGAATTGACGATGAGTTGGATTGAGGAGAATTATATTACGGATTTCTATTGAAGTTGTTTACTAAACCATATGGATTGAGAGGAGTTATATTCCGGATTCCTATTGAAATTGTTTACTAAACCATATGGAATTGGGGTATGAGTGGTACTAATTAAAATGTCCTCGTTCTTGGGTTAAGGTAGATGGCAAATTTGAAATTTTGAATATTGTGTGAGATAATGGGTAAAAAAGATGAATTCCTAATGGGTTAGTTCTCCTGGAATTAGAATACCACATCTCACCCAAGAATTGAATTCCTCCAAAATCAAGAATTCAATTCCTAATTTCGTGTGGGCCCTACTTACTTTTCAATTCCTTGATGTGGAGTAAACACATGAATCCTCCATATGCGAAATTCAATTCTTGATTAATAAACACACCCTTAAATCAAAGATAATTTTCCTAATTAAATAAAAATTAATTAGGGTAATTAGTTTGACCTAAGGAATATTCCTTTTTCATGTGTCATCCTCTTATTGGCAGGTGAAATATATGCTCCCACATAAATTACCATGCCTTGGTGTCTATGCCAAAAAATGCAAATGGGCCGTCACCATCTTCACCTCTCAAAACCCTAGATATGTCTTCATATTCTTCTTTGTCAAACCCAACTGGGTACTCACCATCGGTTGAAGAAGACCACTAAGGTGAACCATCATCACCTTCGCCCCTCAATTTTGGTGCCAATAATTTTTCAAATTTTCAATCTAATCCACATTCAGAGTCTCGAGGACCGTCGCAGTGGTTGTCTTCTGCCCCTTTTGTTCTAATTTGGACATTGGAAACAAAAGAAATTTTTTTTCTTCTATTTATTTGGGTTTGTGGTAGGTAGGAGTGGTTGTGGGTTTGTGGTGGGTAGGGGTGGGTGTGTGTCGTGGGTGGGTGGTTGTTTGGGCGGGGGGAAGGGTCTAGTATAGAGAGAGAAAGAGGGAGAAAGAAAAAAAATTAAATTTTTAAATATTTTTTTTTCATACATGGCACTTACTTGGCATACATTTCAGCAAAAGGGTGGGTCCTGTCTGTGCCATGTCAGCGTTGTTAACGTAATTTTTAACAGAGTTAAAGATAGGGGGCAAAGTGAACCACCAAACCTTAGTCAAAGGGGCAGTCTGGATCACTTTAACTTTCAAGGGGTAAAGTGAGATTTGATCATAGTTTTAGGGACCAACATTCTATTATGATGAGGTTCATAATTGTATCATTATACTTTGCAAGAATGGTGGGCTAATACTACAATGGTGCCTCACAATAATATTCGGGGGTATACATTTGCTAGAGGCCAAATTATATGGGAACTCACATCATAATGTGAATGAGTAGAAGGACTCTCTCTTTATTATTTGTGTTATCCCTAGATCCTATTGCGGTGCGGTGATCCAAATAATAAAGCCTCCCATCCTGCTAAGAGACATCTTACAGAAGTCTCTCATATTCCATTTTTGAGGGATTATGGAAATCGTTTAAAACAGTGGGAGGAGCTATAGAATTCAAAAACCCTAAATCTATGGCCTTAACCAAAACAATCTAATTTTATTTCTATAGAACCCCATTCATAACACATTACACAAAGCAAGCCTCAAATGAACCATATAATGTCAAAAGGGATTAGCTTCCATAAGGATGCTAAAAGGAAGAAGAGAAGTAATGTACATCTTTCATGCACAAGGAACAAAACTTATGAAGAGAGCAATTTTGTCCTTGAGTCAGTAATGACAGTTGAAACTTCCACCTGGATAATGGATTGAGGAGCTAGCAGACACGTTTGCAATACAGTACAAGGTCTCGCAGATCATAGGAAGTTGTCAAAAGGGGAAATAGTGCTACGTGTCGATAATGGTACCCAAATATCTGCAAAAGTAGTAGGCACTTTCCACCTTAAGCTATCACATGGGGAGACACTTGAACTTAAAGAATGTATTTAACTTCCAAGTTGCATAAAGAACCTAGTATATGTTTCATCATTGCTGAATGAAGATTACAATGTCACATTCAATAGAATGGGATGCTTTTTACAACAAGGCAATCGAATCATATGTAAATGTACGGAGTTTGATGTGTGTTATCGAGCAGGAGGGGGAAGAACAAATCTGGGCGTGGAGGAGGAGAGATCCGATATCCATATTTGAACATTAATATTGTCCCTAGTCCCATTGATTTTGTTGGGTCAACTAAATCTTGTGAGGAAAATAGGTCCAATTAATCCTCTAACTCCAGGCATGAAAATGACGATCAGTTTTAAACAAAGGGAATGACTCTTTGATTACTCAAATCTTAAAAAAAAATATATGAATTGGGTGTTGGGGAGGGAGGGGGGAAGAAGAAATGGAAGGGGGAAGAAATCAGGGTGTTTGTTGGGGGGCATCGGGGGCAAGAAGAAATTGGAGAGAGAGAGAGGAGATTTATTTTTTAAATTTTTGTGTGAAAAGACATTTTTGCCCATGCCAAGTAGGACTTGTTCATGACAGGTTATCATTTTTAATAGAAAAGTTGACTGAGATGACAGAAATGACGATTTCTGAAAGTGCAGGCATAATTGAAGTACCACTGTAACAATTTAGCAATATGAGGGACGGAAAGTAAAGTTTGGTCCTAATTCAGGGACCATTGCTACAATTTTGCCAAAAATAAATACAAGCACAGCAACTTTCACCATTTGATGTTGCATGAATGTTTCCTTTTTCTAGGCTAATAATGGATTTTCAATGAAGAATCATTGTGAATCATCCCTCATCAAAGAGAGACACATAATTGCCTTTTTTCAAGTTGAGGCCCTAAGCTTATTCAAACCCAATAAGCATTTTCTCAATAGCATGATGTACCATGCATATTTAAATAAAGATTCAAGTGAATTTTTCAAACCCAAAGCAATCTATCTCCTTACTATAGGATAATCGGACCTTTTTTGTGTGTACGAATTACTTTTTGTTGCAATTTTAATATGAACAATTAAAAGAATTATACTAGCCTCTTTGCACGCTTTTCCGCGTTATCGAGAGGCTATTTTTAACTACGAGCGACTTACAAAGTTTCTTTTTATTTTATTTTTGCAATTATATTTTGCTAGATCTCAACAATTTCTTCCTTTTAGTTTAACGAATTCTCACATCACTAAGGCAATCCATTGGTGTTATTGTTTTAACATTGAACAACTGATGAAAACAAAAGTTTGTTTTATTCCAATGAGAGTTTATTTTTAATCATGCTTATCTGATAGTTCTTTTTTATTTTATTTGAATTTATCCTTTTT